AAAGGACTTATTAAGTCAGCCATTCGGGATAATAATCCAGGTCAGCACAGTGACCCCTGGGTCTCCTTTGAACATTAAAAAATTGAAATGAAATCTTTGCATAGAAAGAACCATTAAAAGCTTCTAGTTAGGTTTAGACATAGCACATAAAATGCTAATCATTTATATATAGTAAAAATAATAAAGAATGTGGTTGTTTTTCTTATTTCTGACTATAAGGGGGTCAGTTAGGTAATGGAGACATTTACTGCACACTTACAATGCTGGCTTAACCTCAGTAGGTACAGCTATGTTGACCAAACTACAAATGGAAGTACCTATTGGACAAGATAGAAACAAGGCTTCCTAATAAACACAATGGAACTTTTGAAATTGCTGTCTATGTATTTTTAGTCTTATGTAGTTATTTTTGCTTAAATATTTATAAAACTGTTTTGCAGTGGTGATGCTAGAGAATGAATTGATGTATGGAGTTCCATTTGAACTTCCTGCAGAAGCTCAGTCAAAAGATTTTCTAATTCCTATTGGAAAAGCAAAAATAGAAAGGCCAGGTAAGAGAACTTTACATTTAATCATTTTACTGGGCTTACTCCAGCCCCTCTATGTAGGTCAGCTTTAATCTACTTAGTTTGTCAAAAAAATTAAAGAATGAGGTTAAGTTAAGAATGTGTGAGGCTCACAGTTACGCTTCTCTAAATCTGTATCCAGTAGATCTGTATTTTGTTTCTAGGAAGACTGCCACATTCCTCAGCTCACTGGAATGAAGTTGAGTTGAAGATTTGACAATAAGAGCTACAGATAGCTGCAGAGTGGCACTGCATCTTTAGTTTCACCCTGACTTCTGTGATTATTCTTGTTTCAGGGACACATATAACTGTAGTTTCTCATTCAAGACCTGTGGGCCACTGCTTAGAAGCTGCAACTGTCCTATCTAAAGAAGGAATTGAATGTGAGGTAAGTAGACATTCACTTATTCTTAAAGAATCAGAAAGGCTCTTTCTACATTTAAGAACCAGAAGCCAGGCATGGTTTACATGCTTGTAATTCCAGCACTTTGAGGACTAAGGCAGGAGGATCATGAGTTCCAGGTCAACCTGGGCTACATAGCAAGATCCTGTTCAAAAACAACCCCCTCCACTCGACACCCCGAAATAGGATTTTGAGTTCTGTAATAGATGTTAAAATCCTCTGTCATTTAGTTCTGTGCCTGCTTGCTTACTGCTTGCATTTTGCATACTTATCTTAGCTTTTCATGTAGGCTCTGGATCTTATTTAGAATAGTACCTGCTTTGTCAAGTTTTAAGACCCAGCCTTGGAGCTGGACCTGGGGGTAAACTCAGAAGTCAGTGGTCCTAACTTTCTGTATAGGACCTACTACTTGATAGTTACACTTGGACAAGTCATGCAGTCCAGCTCAATTCAGCTTATTCATGAGTAATAAAATGAGGAGGATGTATCATCCAATCATAGGATAGTTGTGAGAAACACACTTAATGGAAGGCCTGGTTCCACACTAAGCAAGCAACTAGGAGCTCTTACTTTGAAAAGAGGGTTGATAAAGCCAAGGAGGACAAATGGATTCTGTAAGTGAACAAAGCTGCTTAGTAGAGGTGTGGCGTTTTGATTTTTAATTGCATTTTCTCCTTTTCCTGTTTTTGTTTTTTTTGAGAGGAACTTGCTATGTACCCCAGGCTGGTGTTTAACTCGAATTCCTCCTGCCTCAGGCCCCTCAGTGCTGAGATTACAAGCATGTAGCACCACACTCGGTATATTTTCTACATTCATGTACCTATTGATAGGCAGATTCTATTTTCCTAGACCCAAAGATTAACAACAAATAAAAGGAAGTGGTATTTTGGTCAGGGTTATATTCGAGATACACTAGTTCTATAAATCCTATTTACCGTATTATCTGTTTAGGTGATAAATATGCGTACCATCAGACCAATGGACATTGAAGCTATAGAAGCCAGTGTCATGAAGACAAATCATCTTGTAACTGTGGAAGGAGGCTGGCCACAGTTTGGAGTAGGAGCTGAAATCTGTGCCAGGATCATGGAAGGTATATCAGAGAAACTGGTTTTAGCATATACCCAAACTATAGTACATCATGTACCCGAATACAAACTGGACAAAGAGATCAAAAGCTAGGGGTGGCGAAATAATTTCTTTTCAACTTGTCAGTTTGGCACTTACTTTGGGTAAGTGTTTAAAAAGCAAAACCAGAAACAATTCCAATAATTGGGATTTCTTTCTCATGTTTTCTCTTCCTGGATAGCTACACTTCTTTGCTGAAGTGGAGGTAGTGGTAGTCCGCTGGCTTTTCTTGCCTCTTAGATGAGCCTTCTTTCTCTCCTAGGCCCTGCATTCAATTTCCTGGATGCGCCTGCTGTGCGTGTCACTGGTGCTGATGTCCCTATGCCTTATGCAAAGATTCTAGAAGACAACTCTGTACCTCAGGTCAAAGACATCATATTTGCAATAAAGAAAACCTTAAATATCTAGTTGGGACTTGAATATCGAGTCACCGAAATTTATGTAAAACACTTGCTGGGACTTCACCTGGATTGTGCTAAAGACCTTGCTATTCACAAATTAAAATTATCTCAAAGGCAACAGGTGTTTTTGTACTGGTAAGAAATGTATATGTGCTTGTGAGCAGAAAACTCCACTCTCCTGCCCTAGACTCCATATTTTATCTGTTACAGTTGCTCTTTTCTTTGAATGAGGTAATGTAAAATTTTACTCTCTTTCATTAGAAGGGCAAGATACGAATGTGGCAGAGTTCTGCTGAAAGATATATCCAAAAAAGATAATTTACGTGTATAAAAAAGTATATAAACCACATTTACTGTTAGATTGTTTTGATAAGAAATAAAGTAATTCATAACTATGAGTAATACTTTTCTTTCTTTAATTCATGAAGAAATAAATGTGGAAGTCTTAAAATTCTAAAGAAATTGGTGGAAAGTGGAAAATAAGCTGATACTGTATGAAACCATTGTGGTTTTTTGTGCTGCTAGGGAGCAAACCCATGCCAGGCAAGTGCTCTATCACTGAGCCACATCCCCAGCCCCCCTTCGCTTATTTTTATTCATACATCTGAGACTATCCCGCTATAGCAAGGTGATCTTGAGAAGGACAGATGCTTCCATTAGAAACTGATCACCTACAGCTTATCACACACTCAGAACAGGAACTGTCCACAGACTTTTTTTTTTTTTTTTGGTGCAGTACTCGGGTTTGAATTTAAGGCCTCTTGCTCGCTAGGCAGGCACTCTATCCCTTGAGCGACTCTGATAGTGCTTTTTTTGTGTGTGTTGGGTATTTTGGAGCTAGGAACTCAAGAACTATTTTGCCTGGGCTGGCCTCAAATTGTGAGCCTGCTGATCTCTGCCTACTGAGTAGCTAGGATTACAGGCATGAGCCACCAGGGCCCACTTGTCCACAAACTTAATAATTTTAACAGGGTTCCTTTTAAAAATGAAAGCAAAATTTATGTCAGGTATTTTTCCCATTGCTAAAAAACACATACTGTCATTAAACTTGCCTCTTCTGAAGCTGAGATGGAAGTGTTAAATGAGTTATAGGAGCATAAAGATAGTATCTAAATAGTAAGATAGAATGGTTAGCTTTTTATGAAGAGGGAAATATGACACTGTGAATACGACAGGATAGGGAGGGAGGCAAATTTAAAAATACTGTGTAAATCTACTTATATTTACAAAAGGTGCTGTAAAAAGTTCCCCTATGAAATATCAAGGACAAACCACTTTTTCTTGACATGGTTTATTTTAATAAAAATACAGCTGAACATTTATCACAAGATTACATGAAACTATACACAATGACATTCTCTGCATAGTAACCAACACTGATGTGTGTACTTGAATTTTAAAATGGATTATTTATAATCCTTTAAAGTGCAATTTATTTAAAGGTTTAAGCAAGTCATAGGATAAAAGATACATCTAAAAGAGTAACATTAAAGAGATGATGTACTTGGGTAAACCAAAAATCAGAATCGATTTCTCTAGATACCACATCTGTGTTGTAATAATGATCCAACCCCCTAACCCCAAACTTGACTTTATTGCTGAGGACTAAGAAGATCCTCTAACTGGCAAGAGCCTTTTCTGATGTTAACATTTTCTTATCTGTTTTAATATATTCGAACTAAAAAGAGCTATAGGTCTGCTCTTAGCCCAGAGTTGTACAGCCTCAATTGGATTTCTGTTGGAACTTGAGACTGAGGAATTCTCCCCATTCTATGTGAGGGGAAATGAAGAACTCAGTTGCTTCTCTGACTCGCAACATGACTGTTTTGGGCTACATTGTCAATGTCTGAGGGAAAATAAGGTGACAAAAAATGAGAATTACCTAAGAAATAACCAGAAAATGCTTCAGAAAAATGAGAAATCAGAAATGTGAAAAACATTTCTGATGGGTAGGAGGGATTGCAACACAAAGGCCATTCACTGCTGTGACAGAATATTGTCATTGCTTTTATTTTCCTGTCTATTTCCTTCAGTTGGTGAAAATATTGATTCCAATATGCTGCTGCCCCCAAAGATACCCACTAGAGGATGACTAAGACTCCTTTATGATGGTTACAAGGGAGCACAATACTTAAGGCAGCAATGCCAGCTGACTTCATTCTACTTGGAGGGTATTTCGCTGTTGAAAAGCCTCTTACCCAAGTGTCTGCAAAACAGTATGTGGCTGTACCGGCTACCAAGGACTCATCCAGGAGGGTACTTAAGGGGGCAGGAGTGAGATGGAAAAAACTTTTCCCTCCCAGTGTAAACAGGAAGCCAAGAAGTGTCAGCCAATCTTAGGAGTACTGTGATCACAGGTTTCGGCTTTTCTCAAAGTTCCCTTTTGGAAATTCTGGATGGAGCTGAGCAAGGCCCCTCTGCTCACACCATTCACAGCCTGGGGCAAGAGCTGGGCAGGTGCCTCTGTGCCCACAAGAGGTGAGGGAGCTGCTGGTGGAGGTGGAGGTGGAGGCGGAGGCGGAGGCGGAGGTGGAGGTGGAGGTAATGCAGGCAGCCCTGTGGAGTAAAGGGGAAAAGAGACAGTGAGTAACCACCCTTCCACCTGCCCTGAACACTTGCTCAGGCTAGGGTAGAATGGACTTTGGGGAGACTGTAAATGTTTTCCTTAGTAGGGACCGAGATACATGTAAATACTGTGTGATTGATTTTTTTTTTTTAAACTAGAAGAATCAAAGGTTGCAGTTTCCTTCAAATAACAGTCATGAGAAGAAACTGTTGAAACAAGTATCAGCGCTTACATGAAACCACACTCAGTGACATTCTCTTTGCCTAGAGGAAGATCTGACCCCATTACCTAATTTTTCGCAATGGTCCCAAAAGAAGAGTTGCATCAGCTACAGAGCTTAGCCAGGTTCCCGGATGGTCTACCTACTGAGCTAGCAGTTCAAGAGAGACACCTGTATGGCACAGAGCTGGGCTACCTGAATGACAGTTCCTCAAAAAGGTTGAACTATCCTTAGCTGTTTCCATACACAGTATTGGCAGGACGTGATTTAATATAAAACGCCAAGCCACTCAGGATTCTCAATAGGAATGGTGGTGGCTGACTTACGTATTCCCTGGAGAAATCTGTCTTGAATAATCATTTCCTATTAGATTGCATTAAAGAAATATGCTAATAATTGTGAGCAGGGACATAGAGGACTCTCTCCCTGGCAATGGCACCCTCTGGGAGGAGTCTTTCTCAAGTATTGTTCTTTCCACTGTAGCCCACCTGAGAAAAAGAGTAGAACCACACTAAATGTGCATCTTTGCTGAAGCATCAGAATAGCTTGAAACACTGATCCCTACTATGTGGGCAAGGAAAGGGAAACTGAGAGCCAGGTATCTAAAATTCCTCTCAGATTCTAGTCACACAGACACTTGCAACTTGAATTTTCTATTTTTGAATCAGTGAGTGAACTGTTCTCAGGAAAAAATACTGTGTACAGTAACAGCTCGCCTTATAGAACCTCACCATGCTGCAGAGTTACTGTCTTCTATGTGAACCTTACAGCTCCCTGAGATCCCCACCTGTCTGTTGCTGTCATTACCCTCTACCCTTCCTCAGGCTACATGAGGAGGTGTTCAGCTGGTGTTTCCTTACACTGCTGTGAGCTATGGTAATAACAGGTAAAAGTACCAAGTATGAGTTAGTATGAATAAATACTCAAGTCAGTACATCCTTTCCACCAAGTGTGACAAGCAATGCTGAAAAAATCTTGCTATTCATAGAAAACCACTTACCTTCCTTTATACCTTTTACCACAACACTTAAGACGGCTAAAATTAAAGAATCACACAAATGCACACACTCATGCTCTGCAATCTTGGAATTCTCGAATGATGATATAGCAATACAAATAAAAGTTAAATACATACAAATGAACAAAATGTAACTTTCATTGTTTCTACTCAGTTTACTAATGAAGTTCAACCATGCTCTATGCTAGGGTGGATTGGAAATGTTCCTGGATTTACATCACAGGATTATAAAGATAAAAAGAATGTTAAACTTGAAGCAACTGTTAAGGTGAGAAATCCAGGTGGAATGACGGTATGATGTAAGTTTTCCTCATAGGAAGGTTTTTGCATAGGGACCAGGGAAATGCCAGAAGGAGGAATCCATTCTGTGCTAAAATTCTTGGACTCAGTTTCTTGGTTTCAGCATCGAGGGCCCAGAGGAGGGAGCTCTGCCCACTTGTGGGTGATTGAGTGCCAGTGTCCACCACCAGGCACTCCTAAACAACAGCCAGCAAAGGGCAGCAGAATGTGGGCTGACATTCAGGGCTGATGGGTATCAGAAGGAGCTCCAAGGTTTTTACCTCCCAGCTTTGCTCTGACCCCTTGTAGAAGAATCACTGCAGGGTTAAGGATGAGAAGACAGGCTCTGGGCTGCAGCAGCACTTGTGGGGTTCTACCAAAGACCCAAAGTTGGCCATCCAGAGACTGGCTACCCCTCCAGCCCAGGATTCTGGGAAGCTAGACAGGCCTCAGGGCCTGGACTTAGGGGTATGGCAGCTGTCTTGGCACAAAGCAAAAGCACTTGGCCTCACAGAGAACCAACCTTTGACTTTGGCCTCACTGCCAAGCACTAGAAATGAAAAGTGCAGATGTAGTACCAGAGTGGCAGTTGGGGATGGGGTTCAGTAAACAGTTCGTCATTTTGCAAATAAAGGCTGCATCTATTTCTACTCTAAACATCTGAAAATGTAGGTAGTGTAAATAAATATACCATCCAAAGTGCTGTGGGGGTAACCTCTGCCTGTACAGCAAATGATGCTGAGGGCTGTGTGAAAAGAGCTGCTTGTCCAAGAAAGGAAAAGCAAAATCACCCTGAGGTCTGCTCATAGGAGGGCCAGACCAGTCCCAAAGAGCCTGATGTCCCAGGTAGCCTACTTTTCTTTGCTGGGATGAATCTTGATGTGTACAATAGGGCAAGGAAGGTGAGAACCAAACTTGCCAACTCAGAACACTCTGGAAAGGGAGAGGAGGCCAAAGAACCAAAGGTCAAAACTGGAGGAGGCAGGAACACAAACTGACGACTTAGTCTCTGACTGGAACTCTCATCCATGTCATTGACCTTTTCGTCTTGCTTTTTTTTAAATGGTCTATTGGGGCTTAAGATAGGATACAACAGTAACAATGGCAAGGGGCCAGATGAAAGCTGGTTATTTGGCCATTGACAAACCTGGGAACAACTGCATGATGCCTATACTCCCTCTGTACCTAAAATGTGAAAGCTCCTATAAGCAGCCTCCAATAGCAGACAAGAGTGGACAAGTATGTTAGACCAATGGTTATGTGAGGTCACACCCAGGACAAGGTATGCTCCATAACAGCTTAGCTATAATTACAACCAGGTCAGTCCTCATCGCTCCCATTTCATGTTCTCTTGGACAAAAATCCTAAGTATGACTACTCTTCCCAGAGTCTCTTCCACAAAACCCAATGGGGACCTGGAAGAGGGCATAGACTGTTGCAGCAAGAACACAGGTTAGATGTAGGGAGAACACCAGGCCAGACACATCCTCAACACCCTTGAGGAAAGGACATCAGGAGTCACCTGTTCCTGGGACAAATTTAGCAGCAGGAAAGCGAGATCTCTGTGACTCTGGGTGGGAAGGCCAAGTGGTCACCAGAGCCACACCAGACCTACCTACTAGGTCTGGTCTAGGTCTGAAGAGGCTGTACTCATGTGTCCAAACTAGAGAATTATTCAGGATGCTTAAAAAAGAACTTTTTCTGTAACATCAGTTATAAAAGCCAGTACTGTCTCCCTGTAATCAAGAACTCAACTGCCTAGCACCTTTTCTTCAGCAGAGTATTTCAAGTACTAGAAACCAGTATTTTTGCAGCAACAGGACTCAAAGTCATGGCTTCCAAAATTAAAATAAACCAAAATGCCATGCAGTGGATTTACAGGTTTTAGAGCTGTGTTTCAAAACTAAAATCAGACTGAAAATGAAGATTTTTTGAAGGTCATGATGGAAATGAAAATGAATACAGATGAAGTCACTTGAGAGCTTTTTAAAGATGCTGTATTTCATTTAAGGGTTCCAATAAGGAAATAGTCTCAAGTCTGTTTTTTCATGTGTTCATCACCCCAGTGATACAGACGTATTAGGTTCTACTTCACATAGAAACAGAGCATCTTTAAAATTAGAAAAATCAGCATAGGTTACTTTACCTAAAACTCACGTTCAAAATGGTGCATGCTCTACTGAAAACAGCAAAGGGAAAGAGAGAAGGGACACAAGTCATTATTCAGATTTTAGTGTCATTTAATCAAATAGTAAAAGACAGTAAAATATTAGCCTGAATCACATATTAATTATTCTCACTACAAAACTAGGACATAAGTTAACTATAAAATGCCCTGATTATTAACATTCATGACCCTTTTTGGGCAGGACAGATGTACCACATTCCTCTTCACATTCTTTTCTAAACCAGTTTTTTAATTTTTTTTATTTTTGGCAGTACTGGGGCTTGAACTCAGGGCCTACACCTCAAGACACTCTACCAGCCCCTTTTTTTGTGATGGGTTTTCTGGAGATAGGGTATCTCAAACTATTTCCCCAGGCTAGCTTCGAACCATTATCCTCCTGATCTCTACCTCCTGAGAAGCTAGGATTACAGGCGTGAGCCACCAGTGCCCAGCTATTTATTTTTATTTTTTTATTTATTTACAATCACAACACTCACTTCAACCCTACCCTGAAAGGCAGAATGGATGCCAAGAGTGTATTTAATTCTATTACTAAAAAAGGACAGTGTACCAGGAGGAAAACTCACCACTTTTTACTAAGCAAGTCCTCTAGGTCTAAAATAAGAGACTTCTCTTTTTAAAGTTGGGAAGAACAAAAGCATAGAACAAGACTAAGGGTGGAGTTCTTGGGTGGGAGGCCTCCCAGGCAGAGGTGTAGGCTACTCTCCCCCAGGCCACAATGATCTAGTGAAACATAACTTAGGGCCATTTAAAAAGAAGAAAGCAAAGCAAATTTTTTTGGTCTTCTTTCAAACTAGTAAATGTGAAGGACAATATGCTTTCTCGGAGAGTACCTAAGGAAAAACTCGGGCTTACTGCCAGAAGGAAAATTCCTTCCCCTGGAGAGGGGCGGGGAATAGAAGCTCTCTGGGCAGTGGGCAGGGCTTGCAAACCACCAGTGGTCACAAAAGGACAGCTCTGGAAAAAACAAAGAATGCTGAGATTCCTGCCTGCTCCCTGTCCAGCACCAGGGAGGGAGGACTCTGGATAGGAGTTCACACCCTTGAGACTGGTGGAAGTGGAGGAGGAAAGACTGAATGAGTGGGCTCAGCAGGTGATAGCAGTGGGCAGAGAGTAGAGTAAAGCACTCTTCAAAGTCATCCCTACAGGTGTATGTGTAGCTTTTGAGAAAGAAAGGCAATTCTGATGGCCTTAAGTGTGAATCACATGCTAAGAGAATGGGTTTCAGACTTTGATTTGTCTAGACAAATTCTGGAAACTCCAACATTTTAAATGAGCTCATCTCTTGTTTGTTGCCCTAAGTTCTCCTTCTCCCATTAACTCTTAACTCTGTTCTTCAAGCTCTCATTCACTCTCTGCATCCATGAGGCTCTATTTTGATTTCTCCATCTCTCTAGAGTCAAAGCTTCCCTTTAGATCTCTTTCCTCAAAATTACTGCTTAAAGTTAAATTGTAAGCAAGAAGGGCAAGAATCTGCTGGTGGCAGGGCATTCATAACTTATACCTAATAATACTTCATTGCTTATACAGCCTTATCACGTACACTATCTACCTAATGAATAGCTGGGGTTCTTTTAAAAGATACTTTCAAAGAATGGCAATTACTTGTCCAGGGTCACAGCAGGCAACTGGTACAGCTAGGACACAGCCCAGGTTTTCTAACTCTACATTCATGGTTCTTTTCACACCAGCTAAGTGCAATGTTTAATAGCCTAGACCTTGCAGTGCATCCTAAAATAAAGCAGGCACTCAATAAATTGGGGTAAATGGACAAAGGTGGGACCAAGTTCAAACTCTGGCTGTAGCAACTCTCAAGGTCAACTTCTCTTAACCTTAGAAGGTTCCTGGTTGCTTTGTTTGCAAAAATAAGCTAAACTTCCTGTCCACTCTCATTGGACAGGAAGGCATTCATGAGGATTAAATCAAATAATGACTACAAATCACTTAGAACAGTACCCGGCACAAAATAAGTCTCAAAATATGTTAGATGTGGTCATTAAAAACAACACTTACTCAGCTTTCCTAAAACACTCTTTTGCAAATCTGCTTAAAAAAAAAAAAGATAGCAAACATCAGGCTTGTATAACCCAAAATGAAATGGAAGTGAATATTTGTATATGTATAAGCTGAGACCTTTAAAACCATTCAGCTTTACAAATACAGAGTATAAATACTAGTAGGTGACATTTACCATGAAATAAGCCTGGACAAAGAATTTTAAAGTTCTTCAAAGAGCACCTTCCTAAGGCAGGAAATAACCTTTAGCAGGAAAAAAAAAGTGTTAAGAATGTTCATACTGAAGAAGAAGGTAAAAAGAATTAAGAGAATGCTGCCTCACCTAAAAGAATTGCCAGCAGACTTGGGGAAATTATTACATAAATTTAGTAAGCATCTCAAGATACTCTAAGGGAGGGAGCTTCAAAGAGAAAAAAGGAGGGTCCTAATTGCCAGAAAAGGCTCATAAAGGTAGGCTCCCCTCACTTAAAAACACCCGTCATTGCTGCCCCATCCTAGAAGTAAGAGTAAGAACACATTTAGCTACCATAAAATTCTTAAAAGTTGAGGCGTTCAGGAAGTAAAGCACTAGAGCCCAACTGGACTTGCCCAAAGCGGACCTTCTGCTCTGGATCTGTTAACCCAGAGTTGGTCCACACTGGGTTTAAAGTGGCTTGATTAGAGAACTAGAAGATGGTCTCTTCTAGATGCTGCATTTTTGCCCTTTACAGAGGAGGCAAACAAAACCCTGCTGTAGAAACTGGCTGATTCAAGGTCTAGGTAACTAACATTTCACATTTAGAGCTTACTAAATGCCAGGTGCTGCTCTAAGCCTTTAGACATGGAAACTCACTGAAGCTTTGTAATGACCTGAGAACGCAAGCACTGCCACCATCATCCACATTTACCAATGGGAAACCTGCCCTGCCCAAGGTCCCAGAAACATTAGCGGTACCCCCAAGCTTAGGTTCCCAGACCTCTGGTGCAATTCTCATGAATTTTAAGTTGAACTGTGATTGACATGTTGCCTTTTTCAGGAATTCTTTTAAATGTTTCATTTCTGAAAACTGCATTTCATCATAAAACTGGAAGACACTTTTTTTTTTGGTTACTATAGCTTGAACTCAGGGCCTACACCTTTAACGACTCTACTAGCCCATTTTTTGTGATGGGTTTTTTTCAAGATAGGGTCTCTGGAACTATTTGCCCGGGCTGGCTTCGAACCATGATCCTCCTGATCTCCTGAGTAGCTAAGATTACAGGCATAAGCCACTGGCACCTGGCTGGAAGACACTATCTTTGATGTAAAACCATAAACTTGGTCTAAAAGTGCAGATGTAAATTAAGAGTAAATGTGATTCCAGCAGCAAGATGGACAGTAAACAGAGAGGCAGCAAGAACAACCTTTGTTTCCTGCAAGTAAGAACTAGCCTAAGCAGGGGCTGATTAGCCAGAATCTGCCACCCTAGGTCTGCTCTCACTCAGTAGAGGCCCTGAAGGCACAGTAAGTCAGAGCAAATCCATGAATAAGGATTTTTAAAGCATCTCGTACAGGTACAGTATCATGACACTACTACCTCTTGGTATTCCCCTGATGCCTTACATAAAACAAAGTTCAAGATGTTACTTGTTGATGAACTAGTTTTTTGGGTGAATATCTTTTATTTAAGGGGAACTACTGAGTGAATATGTTACTAGACTTGGATCCCAAGGAAAGCATTTGCCTGAACTGTCTGTCATTTTGGAGCTCCTAAGGCACTAGAAAAGTGCTGGAGCCTTGTCAGTCTGTCTCTGTACCCAAGGGCCACATGCAGTCCCTAGAAAGCCACAGAATCCCTCTAAGTGCATCCTGAGTCCACCTTGAATGATTAAATTCACTGTGGGCACCCCTCTTAGGGCCTGAAATGCTAGGTTGCTAGGTAAATGCTATGTATGCTATTTTTATGAGATGCATTACAAGAAATGGCCAGCAGAGGTCAGAGCATGGTCTTTGGAGCCAAGTTAATTTCATCAACAAAACATTAAAAGGAAATAAAGGAAAGAAGGAACCCATTAGTTGCTGGGAGCCTGTCAGCCATTGTGCTTGGGTGTTGGTATGTTCTCCCTCTAAATTTTCAGGATATGTACTATAAATTTCACAATATTGCCCCCTGCCACTCCCATTCTCCTTAGATATTTTTCCAGTATTGACTCAGATTATAAAAGAGTTCTTTTTTTCTTCTCTCATTCTAAATGTTGCCTCATCTCATGCAAACTTGCTACTGTGTGAGATGGCTCCCATTTAAAGCAGAGGTAAATTAGAGAATCCTCCCCCCAGAACCAAACAGACTATAAACTCTAAAAGTCATTTAAAGATGAAAACTCCCTAGAATCACATCTAATGCACATAGTAAGGTGCTCTGTATACTAAACAGATACCTTTCTTATTAAGTAAGAGCTTATGTAGTCTCATTATTAATTTTCTCCAATTTCCTAATCCTGTCCAAGTGGTATAAAATTAATATCCATCTTTAGAACATGGCTAAACATAGCCTGAGCAGTGGATCTCCAGAAATTTCTGATCAGTCTAAAAAGATCATCTTTACAAAAGACAGATACTCGGGGGCTCTTTCCTTCATTCCTTTCTTTTTTAATTTTGGAATTTCTTGTAAAATCTGCTGACAAAGTCACATAGGGACAAGAATGTCATCCCCATAAGCTAGATACTTTGCTACACAAAACTGGCCCTGACCCCAGAACATTCTGCAGTCAACTACACTACCAGTAAGTATTCTCAGCCAGCTAGAAGTAGAGGATTCACACTCACCCTCTTGCCTGCTGATTATTTTTTTCTCAGAAGAGTCAGCTAGAAGTATCTGAGAACAGTTGGGTAATACTCTTGGTAGTTCTTGGGCACCACCATAAGCATTGAAGAATATGGTATTGTCAATTCATATCAACCTGACCAATAAGTTTCCTTTCAAACAGCAGCATGAATTCTTCCAAGAATAGTCAGCAAGCTCTGAGTGGCAGAACCAGCTCCTCAGATGTTTAGAATGGCTGGTTCATTTAAGTGAAAAGAGACATGCTGCCCCAGTGCTTTTAGTAGGCTTGCAAAATGGTTAGGAGAGAGATCTTAGTTCAAATAACAGAGAAGGAAGTAAAGATAATATTATGAAACTACTCCATAGAATTAGATTATTTTTCTTTAGTCATCCCCGAGACAGTGTTTTTAATTTTTTGAAATAAAACTCACAATATCTGATTTAATTCACAAAGGCAAAAAAAAGGCTAATGATAAATATTCCTACAATTAAATACATTACAGAGCAGAATAAATAATTAACCATGAAATCAGAACATGGTGGTATTTCACTCTGCAATTAGGCATCTCACCAGCTCTGTTCCAAGACAAAACCCACATTACCAATGGGCTTTCTGAGGAAAAGCTCTGGCAGGTCAGGGGCCCCAGGCAGTAGTGTGTCTGTTTTATCCCAAGGCAAGCTCTGATCCAAGGAGCCCTGCGTGAAGCTTCTCAGCAAAGACAGAAAGCCTGTGTCAGAGGGTGGCTAGTGGTCCTGAAACCAGTCCATTCTCTGTGAACTCTGAGCTCCCCTATCACATAGCTATTAGGGACTCCTCTGGTCCCTCTGAAGGAGGCAGGTGCTACCGAACCCCTGAAATACTTAGGTATAGAAGGAGAAGAAAGAGCCCTGCTCCTCCTATTGGTGGAGAGGAGGGAGTCATGCCACCTTACCCCATCACTAACCTGTTGTCGAGGGTGGAGTTGGAGATGATGGGGATGTGAGAGGTGAGCTGGCCCCAGATCCTGCTAATATAAAACACACAGAAACCCTCATGGGAACCAAAGATAACTGGAATTTGGCATGAGCAGAACCTCCCCATTGTTTGAGAATATTCACTTGACCTAGTGTGTGGGTCTATGTGGAACAATGTGTGGCAATAGGTTTTCCCCCCAGTGCAGGGTCAACTTTGTTCTCCAGGGCACTAAAGGTTCTCTGACCAACTTGTACAACCAGTAACTTAAGCACTGGCTATAGTATCTCTTCCTAACCCAAACCCAATCCAGAGTAATGACAAATTAACAGTGGTCACAGTGGTACAGGGCAGAGAGGTGCAGAGCAGCGTGATGGAAAAGCAAGAGCTCCTGACAGCACCTGTCTATCCAGCATGCATGTGTGTATTTATTTACTTATTTATTGTCTGGTCTTGAATTCACAATCCTCCTCCTCAACCTTTAAGTGGTAGAATTACAGGCATGTGCCACCACATCTAGCCTGTATTTATTTTATTTTATTTTATTTTTTGTTTTGTGACTGGATCTCAATGAATAGCCCAGGCTGGCTTTGAACTTTCAATCTTCCTGCCTCAGCCTCCCAAGTGCTGCTGGATTACAAATGTGAACCATCACACCTGTCTTTGCTTTCTATAGAAGTTCCATTTTATCAGCAGGAACAATCAGTTGAAGAGTGTCAATATAGGGAGTCTGTGGATCTTCTAGACCTTTTCTCATGTGAGATTCAGTCAATATTCTTATTTAGAGTAAAACAATGTACAAAATCCCAGGCTTCATGCTTTTTCTGGACTTAGTAACCTTGTTAAATTTAAAATATTCCTAACTTCTCAGCATCTCCTTATATAGCTCAGAAATCCCTTGAAAATATCTTTCTGGCCTGACATGGAAGTAGCCCCATGAGTGGATGGAAGTTCCTACTGAATTCTTTGGGAGTGATATGAAGCCCCCTTCTGTATGTAGGGAGAAGTTAGCCAGCGCACTCTCACTGGTGCTGCTTGGGTTGATAGTCATATACACCCAAAGGGAGGGCTATTATCACCTGCCACTGAGAAGTCACTATTAGCTATTCTGAGTAGGCCTCCAGCCATCACTCCACTCATGAATGACCTGAGGACATGCTGGTACCTCATGGACACTAGGAAGTTGAGAGATGTCCTAATTAAAGTAAATCTCCCTCGGGTTTGCTACCTTTCCATTGCTGCAATGTATTCCCTCAGTACCCTATAAAATATGACGTGTTTCAGTGAAAAAAGGAGTCAAAACTCAACACATGCTATTTTCATACTGTTTGCAGTATTAATAGATTTTAATGGGTGGACTTGTGATTCCAGGAGGATCTGCAAGCGGACTGTACATTTCCATCAACACCGTTACTTGGCTCCCCTAAACTACTTGAGGGCAAGATGGTATCTTGGAGTCGTTGGTGTCCCATCAGGCTGCATTTGGCACAGACCTCTACAGGCAGACAAGGCCTCAGAAAAGTAGAGTTGGGTTTTCTCTGCTTTATCAAGAGCTAGCTTCTGTTAGACATGTTGACTGAAGACATCAATCTCAGCCTACTGATGGCAATCACAAAACAATGGCTGGCATGTCCATTCCCTCAACCATGGAGAAAATAGACCTGCAACTGAAATTACCTGCAAGCCATAACAGCTTCCATTCCTAGAGCCTGCCTTGGTCCTCACTGGACCTTATTCCCTTCTTCTCCCTTGTAGTTCTCCTTGCACCCATCTTCAACATGGACCCTGCAGTAGTGTCAACAGGACTGTTACCCTCCTTCTGGAATCTATGATCTGTAACATTCTAACTTTTCCAATGTCCAGCTCTACCCACATCACCTGCATTTTCCAGTTGTGGCCAATCCAGCCCCTCAGGGCTACAGCCCAATCCTCTTGTGCACCTTTCAGTGTCTCCTCCTGTCACAGGTTGACTTCACCAAGGCGAACGAGGCATGATCTGTGAATACCCTCAATTTCTCAATTTATTTCATTTCATTTTAACATGGGGCCTCCTTTTTTGCCAAGGCTAATCTTGAGCTCTTGGGCTCAAGTGATCTATCTCAGCATTCCAAATAGGTGAGAGTGTAGGTGTATACCACTACACCTGGTCTCTCTACTTTTAAATGCCTCTGCCTCTTCACCTACCCCTCCTGATTCCTTCCTCCAGGAACAATTGTTTTTTTGTTTTATAGTGGTACTGGGGTTTGAACTCAGGGCCTCATGCTTGCTGGGCAGGCATTCTACCACTTGATCCACTCCACTGGCACCTCCAGGAAGAACTGGATGGGTGTTCTCCACACTGATACTAACAGTGGGACCTTTGATGCGCCTTACTCTATCTCTCTTTGCATTTTCAGCTACTCCCTTTCTGCTAAGCCCTTCTCCTGCTGAAAAGTATATCAGCTAGCCCTCAGAACCCCCAATCTCTCCTTCTGTAGCCGCCCCCCCGCAGGGCTGAACTTGCTACCTGGGTTAGAGTGAACCCTTCCATTCTCTATGTCAAACTCTACTCCACAGATTCATAAACTAGAAGAACTGGAAGGCCTTCAAGGGATCATTCAATTTGGTTCTGATGTCAAAAGATGGGTACATTTAAGGCCCAAAGACAACCAGGTGATAGGTAGCCAGTGGCAGTGAGGATTGCCAACTCAGGACAGGCCCTTTGTACTATCTTGGCCTTTCTGGAATGTTGCTTCCTGTCATCCCCACACATCACTGAATCCTTTCCTTAATCCACTCATGGAGGCACATTCTCCTACCACGTGAGGTCCAGAGAAAAGGGCAAAATTTGAAGTCATTTCAGTTTGTGCAGGCTCTTCTGAAAAACAGCAAGCCTAGCATTTTAAAACAGGTTGATTATTCTTTTGTGGTGAATGCCTGTGTCTTTGGTTCATTGAGTCTAGCCATCATTTAAGAGGCACAGCTACCAAGTAACCTGTGAGATTTTCCCAGCACTTGTATCTTGAGCCTATGAATGCTGTCACAATCCTTAATTAGGAACAGTTCTCTGCATTCATTTCTACACTGCCCAGTCTCTGCTCAACAGAACCCAAAATCTCTTGACCCTGCCCTCTGGATTTCAGGCTCACTACAATGTATAACCAGTTACCTGAATTATTGGAGTTGGTGTATTTTGCTGAATGCTCTTCACTATTTTCAATAGCAGATCGTTTTGACTTCTTTAAAAATGAAAGAAGGGGGAGCAAAGAATAAACACATTGAAGCTAACAGTTAAAACAAAAAATTTCCAAGCATATAGTTAAACTGCCTACAGACAACATATTTGGCCTTATAACTTAATACAGTGAAGAAGTCGCAAGCCAAAAATAAGGAGGGAAATAAAAACAATGATGCTGACTTTACTATCTCAGCCCAATCATTTTCCCTAATTACATTATGGCATAATGAGTCCAGCAAACCAGGAAACTATATGGTCCATTGCTCTGATGATGTGGCTTTTTTTTTTTTAAAGCTGCAAACCAGTCTTCTGGAAATACCTTTAGTTTTCAGGAGATATAACATAAAATCTAAGCTAGAACTTTCTTCATATGCAGTAAAAAATTCACAGAAATATAGGAATACTAGGCTTACCTTTCGAGCTAAAATCTTTCTCTTTTTTCTTTCTTCCTCAGATCCATGGTGTGACTGAGCTCTTGTCAATCTTCGATGCTGATGAATCTTCAAGAGACCAAGGTTCCCCCACCCACAATGTAAGCAAATCTCACATAAGCAGTTTCCTAATGAAAATCTTCTCCAACATGTTTGGACACATCAAATTGTTGGGATTAAAAGAAAATCTTTCTTGGCTTATCTACCTCCTGGCTCAGGTCTAGATGTCTGGGAAAAGAGTAAGCTAGGGGATGAAGTTCTTTCTCACCCACCCAATTCTTTCCTGCCTTCTCTCTCTCTCTCCTTCCTCCCCTTCCTCCTCTCTCTCACTTTTTTTTCTTGCCTGGGGTCAGCCTCAGACTTTGAACCTCCTATCTATGCTTCCTTGTAGCTGGGATCATAGGCATGTACTACCACACATGGCTTCTTAGTTCAGATGGGGGTCTCACTAACTTTTTGCCCAGGCTGGCCTCAAACCAAGATCATCCCTATCTCTGCCTCCTGAGCAGCTGGGGTTACAGACATTAGCCACCACTCTTGGCCTAACTTCTCTCCTTTACAGAAGAATATTATGGTCCTCAGTATCTTTACAGCATGGACCATGGAAGCTGTCAATCACTACTATCAACAATGCTTTGATCATGAAGGAAAAAAGGATGACCACCCTTTGTTGTATCTGTTTATTTCTGCATATACTGAGCTTCTTGAGGGCAGGACTGTGAAGTATTCAGCTCTATCTCACAGAATCTAACCAAGAATCTGTTTGATAATAAGTACGTACAAAATATTTACAAGCGAGCAACTAGTCAAAAGTCAATCACTGTGAATACTATGGCAGAAGATGGGACACTAAAAGATCAAAGAGCAATGAGGAAATATTATCAACTTACCTGTTTCTGTTCTTCAATTAGTCTCTTTTCTATACATTCTTTGGCAATTTTCAATGCCTCTTTTAATTTTGTGGGAATCTGAAAGAAGAGAAAGTACATGGTCTACTGAATGAAGTGGTTAGAAATTTTCCTGAGTCCTGGGAACATTGTTGAGTAGCAATTATCAAGAAGGAGGTTCTCTGGTGAGGGGGGAACTCATTCACCTCTTTAGCATTTTTTAGCAACGAATGCATAAAACTACACATAAACATGTTACATGTTTCCAGTAATTCATATGGGTTTCAGGATTGCCAAAACAATACTAAAGAAGAAAAGCAAAGTTGCAGATCTCACATTTCCTGATTTCAAAATTTATTACATTGCTACAGTAGTCAAAATAGTTTGGCACTTATATAATGAGAGATACCGAGATTAATGGAACAGAACGGAGACTCCAAAAATAAGCCCTCTGTATATGGTCAAAGGATCTTTGACAAAGGTGCAAAGAAAACATAATGGAGAAGACAGTCTCTTTAAAAAATGACGTTGGTAAAATTTTATATCCATATACAAAGGCATAAAATTGGATCCTTATCTTACACCATATACAAAAACGAAATAAAAATGTAAGACCTAAAATTATAAAACTCCTAAAACAAAACAAAGCGGAGGAAAAAAAGCTTCATGACATTGCATCTGTCAATGTGTGTGTGTGTGTGTGTGTGTGTGTGTGTGTGTGTATACATATTTTTTTTTTTTTTGGTGGTACTGTGGTTTGAACTCAGGATCTACACCCTGAGCCACTCCACCAGCCCTTTTTTGTGATGCATTTTTTTTTAGATAGGGTCTGGCGAACTATTTGCCTGAGCTGGCTTTGAACCTTGATCCTTCTGATCTCTGCCTCCTGAGTAGCTAGGATTATAGGCATGAGCTACTGGTGCCCTGTTGTCAATGATTCTTTTGAGACAGGGTCTCACTATGTAGCTCAGGCTGGCCTTGAACTGGCTTCAGCCTCCTGAATGCTGGGATACAGGCATGTACCACCACATCCAGCAGGCAATGAGTTCTTGGATATGACACCAAAACACAGGCAATAAAAGAAATAAATAAATTGGATTTCATCAAAATTTTAAAACTTTTGTTCAACAAAGGACACTATAAACAATGAAAAGGCAAATATTTGTCAATCATATATCTGATAATGGCTTAATATCTAGACTGTGTAAAAGAACTCCTGTAAACCAACAGCTAAAAAATGGACAAAGAAACCTTAATAGACATTTCTCCAAAAAAATATACAACTATTTAAAAAACATTTGAAAAGATGTTCAACATCTCTAATCATTGCAGAAATGTACATCAAAACCACAAGATATCACTTCACACCCATTAGGATAGTCACTACCAAAAAAGTAAGTGTTAGCAAGGATGTAGAGAAACTGGAACCCTGTACACTGCTGGTAGGAATGTAAAATGGTACAGTCACTATGGAAAACAATATGGAGTTCCTTGAAAAACTAAAAATAGAATCACCATATTGATCCAGCAATTCATTTTCTGAGTATATACCCAAAAGTTGAAACTAGAACCTCAAAAAGATATTTTCACACTCAGCTGGGTGTCCATGGCTCACAACTGTAATCCTAGCTACTCAGGAGGCTGAGTTCAGGAGGATCGCAGTGCGAAGCCAGCCGGGGCAAATAGTTCATGAGACCCTATCTGAAAAAAAAAATCCATCACAAAAAAGAGCTGGTGGAGTGGCTCAAAGTATAGGCCCTGAGTTCAAACTCCAGTACTGGGGAAAAAAAATGTGTGTGTGTGTGTGTGTGTATCACTCATGTTCATTTCATCATCCTCATCATTGGCAATACTTAGGTTTGAACTCAGGCCTTGTACTTGCTAGCCACTGGAGCCATGCCCCAGCCCATTATTTGATAAGAACAGAGAGGCAGAAATAGCCCAAACATCCACCAACAAACAGTACAGAAAATATGGTATTACACAGGCATGTATGCACATAGTAGAATATCATTGTCTTTAAAAGGAATGAAATCCTGTCATATATTACAACATGGGTAAATCTTGAGTACATTTTGCTGAGTGGGAAATCTGAAAGAAGAGAAAATACATAATCCACTGACTAAAGAGTCAACAAAGCCATTGAATATCAATATCAGTATAATGTAAATAAGTAATAACAGAAGTAATTCTACTTAAATGAGATATCTGGAGAAGTCAAAATCATGGAAACAGGAAATAGAATGTGGTTTCTAGGACTGGAGGAAGGGAGAAATGGAGTTGTTCCACAGGCACAGAGTTTTAATTTGCAAGTCTTACACAACAATGTGAAGACGGTTAAACATCACTGAACAGAAATTTAAAACTAGCTAAGACAGTACATCTTCTATTATGTGGTTTTTAATCACAATTAAAATACATAAAACTTATTAGAACACACACACACACAAATTCAAGTGATTGTAGTGTTTTATAATTTCATTTTCTCTGTAAAAGACTTACGTCCTGATTTTCACAAGGCCAGGCTTTTTTTGAGTGGGTAGCATTCCTAACAACAGCCCAGCTGAACCTATCTTTCCTCCAACCCACCCCACTCCCTCAGGCCACCCTCGCCCTCTACCCACAATGCTAAGGATCCAACCTAAGGCATTACGCACCCAAGGCAAGAGTACTACCACTGAGCTACACTCCCAGTCCCTCATATCTTATTAGCTTTTCCATGAGGAGTCTAGAACTGGAAAACAAATACCCAGATCATATTGAGCTTTTTGTTTTTAATTATTTTTTAAAAAATTTAAATTTAAACTAGTCTTGAGTAGGTAGTATAGTCACATGTATAAAAAGAAAAAGATATACAGACAGTAAAAAGTCTCTCACCTCATTCTCCTTCACAGAGGTAAACTGACAGTCATGTTTCCTACGTAACTTACACAAAGTCAGTGCACATACAAAATTAATGTTGGATTATTGTTTTTTTTACATGGTACATATATACAATTTTTTATTTATCAATTAATTGATAACATTCCTTTGGTGGTACTAGAATGGAACCCAAGGCTTTGTATATGCAAGGCAAGCACTCTACCACTAAGCTACAATCCCCAGCCCTAATAAATAATTTTATTTTGTTTTGTTTTTTGCAGTACTAAGGTGTGAACTCAGGGTCTACATTTTGAGCCACTCCACCAGCCCTTTTTTTGTGATGGGCTTTTTCGAGAGAGGGTCTCTCGAACTATTTGCCTAGGATGGCTTTGAACTACGATCTTCCTATCCTCCTGATCTCTGCCTCCTGAAAACTAAGATCACACGCGTGAGCCACTGGTGCCAGGCTTCAACTCAGGGCTTCACACTTGCTAGACAGGTGCTCTACCACTCGAGCTATTCCACCAGCATTTTTGGTTTTTTTGGCAGTACTAGTTTTTGAACTCAGGGCCTCAAGCCTGCTAGGCAGTGCTCTTTAAGCCACTCTACCAGCCCTTTTTTTTGGCAGTACTGGTGTTTGAACTCAGGGCTTCACATTTGTCAAGCAGGTGCTCTACAGCTTGATCCACTCTACCACACAATAACTTATTTTTTTTTCATTTTTCTTTTATTATTCATATGTGCATACAAGGCTTGGTTCATTTCTCCCCCTGCCCCCACCCCCTCCCTTACCACCCACTCCACCCCCTCCCTTCCCCCCTCAATACCCAGCAGAAACTATTTTGCCCTTATCTCTAATTTTTGTTGGATAGAGAGTATAAGCAATAATAGGAAGGAACAAGGGGTTTTGCTGGTTGAGATAAGGATAGCTATACAGGGCATTGACTCACATTGATTTCCTGTGCGTGGGTGTTACCTTCTAGGTTAATTATTTTTGATCTAACCTTTTCTCTAGTTCCTGTTCCCCTTTTCCTATTGGCCTCAGTTGCTTTAAGGTATCTGCTTTAGTTTCTCTGCGTTAAGGGCAACAAATGCTAGCTAGTTTTTTAGGTGTCTTACCTATCCTCACCCCTCCCTTGTGTGCTCTCGCTTTTATCATGTGCTCATAGTCCAATCCCCTTGTTGTGTTTGCCCTTGATCTAATGTCCACATATGAGGGAGAACATACGATTTTTGGTTTTTGGCCAGGCTAACCTCACTCAGAATGATGTTCTCCAATTCCATCCATTTACCAGCGAATGATAACATTTCGTTCTTCTTCATGGCTGCATAAAATTCCATTGTGTATAGATACCACATTTTCTTAATCCATTCGTCAGTGCTGGGGCATCTTGGCTGTTTCCATTAACTTGGCTATTGTGAATAGTGCCGCAATAAACATGGATGTGCAGGTGCTCTGGAGTAACAGTCTTTTGGGTATATCCCCAAGAGTGGTATTGCTGGATCAAATGGTAGATCGATGTCCAGCTTTTTAAGTAGCCTCCAAATTTTTTTCCAGAGTGGTTGTACTAGTCTACATTCCCACCAACAGTGTAAGAGGGTTCCTTTTTCCCCACATCCTCGCCAACACCTGTTGTTGGTGGTGTTGCTGATGATGGCTATTCTAACAGGGGTGAGGTGGAATCTTAGTGTGGTTTTAATTTGCATTTCCTTTATTGCTAGAGATGGTGAGCATTTTTTCATGTGTTTTCTGGCCATTTGAATTTCTTCTTTTGAGAAAGTTCTGTTTAGTTCACTGCCCATTTCTTTATTGGTTCATTAGTTTTGGGAGAATTTAGTTTTTTAAGTTCCCTGTATATTCTGGTTATCAGTCCTTTGTCTGATGTATAATTGGCAAATATTTTCTCCCACTCTGTGGGTGTTCTCTTCAGTTTAGAGACCATTTCTTTTGATGAACAGAAGCTTTTTAGTTTTATGAGGTCCCATTTATCTATGCTATCTCTTAGTTGCTGTGCTGCTGGGGTTTCATTGAGAAAGTTCTTACCTATACCTACTAACTCCAGAGTATTTCCTACTCTTTCTTGTATCAACTTAAGAGTTTGGGGTCTGATATTAAGATCCTTGATCCATTTTGAGTTAATCTTGGTATAGGGTGATATACATGGATCTAGTTTCAGTTTTTTGCAGACTGCTAACCAGTTTTCCCAGCAGTTTTTGTTGAAGAGGCTGCTATTTCTCCATCGTATATTTTTAGCTCCTTTGTCAAAGATAAGTTGCTCATAGTTGCCACACAATAACTTAAAAAAATTTTTTAGCATACTATAGCTATACCAGGAGTACACTGTGACATTTATAAAAGTGCTTACAATATATCTTAGTTATATTCACCCCCTCCATCTTTCTCCTTTATTCCTCCCCCTCACTTCTTAGAATTTCAACAGGTCTCATTGTTCCATTTTCATACATGAATACATAGTACTTGCATCACATTTGCTCTCCTTTGCCCTTTCCTTATACCACCTCTCCTCCCACTGGAACCAACCCAGGACAGGACTTGTTTTACCTTCCTATCCTTCATTTTTAAAAAAAGATTTGTTAATGATGGTCATACAGGGAGTTTTACTGTGACATTTCCATATATGTGTGTGTGTGTGTGTATTATACCCCAAATTGGTTCATTTCCTCCATTATTTTCCTTTATACCTTAGTCCCCTTCTTATGTGATTTCAACAGGTTTGAATGTTCCATATTCATAATTGTATAGAAAGTATATCAACCATATTCACCTTTACTTTCTTCATTTATCCTTCCCCTCGTATTAGTGCCCTCCTGTTAGTGTGACCTGTTTTACATTCTTGTCCTTCATTGTTTAGGTGTATGTTTGATGCAGTGGGATTTTTGCCTTGGTATTTTACCTGTAAATGTATTGTGCTTAAGTCAATGTAACCCTCCTCCACTGCGCTTCCTCACCCTTCCCCCATCCTATGTTGTTCAACATTTTCAGTGTGTTTCACTATGTCTTGTTTCAACACAGATGTGATATATTTCATTATTATTCACTCTCTTTCTTTCCTTCTTTTCCTCCTCCCTCAATATCCTCCACCAATCCCACTTTTTGACATACAATCTGTATATATTAATATGTATATATGATATTGCTTGTATTGTATTGGACCTATATTCCACATACAAGAGAGAATATGCAGCCTTTGGCTTTCTGAACCTGGATAACTTCATTTCAGATGATGTTCTCCAGTTCTATCCATTTACCTACAAATGACAAAATTTTATTCTTTTTGGTGAATAAAATTCCATTGAATATAAATACCACACTTTCTTAATCCATTTACCAGTTGTGGTGCATCTTGCCTATTTACATAGCTTGGATATTATGAATAATGCTGCAATAAACATGGTTGTGCAGGTGCCTTTATTGGTTATTGGTAACCTGACTTACTTTCCCTCAGGTATATGCCTAGTATTGGTATAGATGGATCATATGGCAGTTCTAGTTTTAGTTTTTTGAGGAGTCTCCATACTGTTTTCCATAGTGGTTGTAGTAACTTACATTCCCACTAACAGTGTATAAGGGTTCTTTTTTCCCACATCCTCACCAGCCTTTGTTGTTGTTTGTGTTCTTGATGATAGCCATTCTAACAGGAGTGAGGTGGAATAGTAATGTGGTTTTGATTTGTATTTCCTTTATGGACAGAAATGTTGAGCATTTCTTCATGTGTTTTTTGGCCATTTGGACTTCTTCAATTGAAAAGCTCTATTCAGTTCATTTGCTCATTTCTCAAAGAGTCATTGACTCTGAGAGTTTAATTTTTTGAGCTCCCTGTATATTTTGGTTAATTCCTTGTCAGATGTATAGATGGCAAAGATTTTCTCCTATTCTGTGGGTTTAAAGTTGCTTTTTAAAATCATATTCATTTTATTATAATATATCTATTTTGGTTTTTTCCCTCTGGCTCAGGGGAGGAGCAAGGTGGGATACTAAACCCCTGAATTCTGGGGTCTAGAATATCAGGGCTTGATGAGTGCATATTTGTTAACAAAGCTGAACGAATAAATTTCCTAAGAAGTTTATGTTTAGAAGAGTGAATTTAAAAAAAATTTCCCCTATTTCAGATCCAAAGAAGCTATTATTGTCAGAATTCCTCTACCTGGCAAATGGGACATAAGAAAACATCTCTCACATATACAATCTTCTAAGCTCACCTTGGCTTTGTTTCTTTCTTGTTTTGTTTTATAACTTTCTTTTCATCAAAATAGTATTTCACATGTTCTTTTGGACTCAAAGAGGAGAGAAAGAATTACCCTTCAGCCTCCCCAGAAGTCAGTACTAACTGCACACTAGTGAGAGCCAGGCCCTGAACCAGGAGTTCACAAAGATGATCTAGGTTGTCCAATGACAACAGACTGGTATTACTCAACAACTTTGCAAAGGAGTAAATGGACACTCAAAGGTTAATTACTCACAGAGCATTGGCTCTCAATTTCCCCTAGAATGTCTGGAGACATTTTATTTGCCACAATGAAGGAGGGGGCAGGGAATATCACTAGTATCTATGGGTGGAGGTCAAAGTTGCTGCATCACACCCTGCAGTGCACAGCAAAGAAATATCTGGCCCCTAAAGGTCAAAGGCCATGATTAAGAAGTCCTGCTGTAGATAATGGATAGTCTCTAAAGAGCAAAGCAAGGCATCACTCTGGATTTTCAAAGCCCATGTTGTTCCCACAATACCACACCATGGCTTCTCATGAAACTTCGTTCCAGACTTTTGACACAGATGTGTGGTTTTTCACACTGTATTTTATATCTATCTTTTTTTTTAAAGCTAAACCCAAATCATAATCATTTTCCATATTACTACAATGCCCTTAATTTTTATTTTTATTTTTAATTTTGGGGGGGGGCAGTATTGGGGGTTCGAACTCAGCGTCTCACACTTGCTAGGCAGGAGCTCTTAACACTTGAGTCACTCCACCAGACCTTCTTTATGATGGATTTGAGATAGAGTCTGGAAAACTATTTGCCAAGGGTTGGTTTTAAACTGCAATCCTCCAGATCTCTCCCTCCTGAGTAGCTAAAATTACAGGTGTCAGCCACCAGCACATGGCTACAATACCTTTATACATTTACTTTTACTAGATAAAAAATAAATTTTCAAACATATGTTCTATAAATTATCAAACAAGTTCCTAATTGTGGGATATTTATATTATTTCCCTATTGTGTACCCTTTTTTTGCAAAAAAAAAAAGGAAAGAAAGTTAAGTTTTAGGGCTGGTGGAGTGACTCAAGTGGTAGAGTGGCTGCCTAGCAAGTGTAAAGCCGTGAGTTCAAACCCCAGTACTGCCAAAAAAGAAAAAAAAAGCTAACTTTCAAAGCCTTATTTGTATCATAAACCAAAAAATGATGTAATTTGCTTTACCTTAAACTGTGGCTTTTCAGAAGTCGTTAGTAAAACATCACTGAATAATCTATAAAGAAAAAAAAAAAACCTTCCTTAACCAAGTGTACTCTCAGAATAGGTGAAAGCAGGTTAAGACACCATTAGTCCCTGAGGCTTCCCTTCCCCTGCCACATATGGAGCCGGCCAAATCCATCATTCCATGTTTGCCAACAAAGACAAAGGAGTTTAGAGACCACCCTCTTACCCTTCTACCCCTTCCATCACCCACCTCCCCCACTGCCTCAGAAGTGTCAAAAGGGGCCTGGGCCAGGTATACACTGGAGGTTAATTCCCCACTGTGGGGAAAATACCAATTTGCAAAAAAATTGCAAATAATATATGCAGTAGATACTTCTAAGCAGAGAAGTTTTTCCTTTTTTTTTTTCCCCTTGCCTCAGAAAAGGATAAGATTTATTCTAGAGCTCAGTAAAATAAAAAATGTTTAAGTAGGTGAAAGGGAATTGTACTGATCAGAATCTAAAATAAATTTTCTTTCAAATATTTTTCATACTTCATTTTCACAAACAGCTGCTTCTGGAGTATATCAATTCTCTCTTCAAGGGTATATTATTACAAACAACAGCATGAAGACTTCTGAGCTGCTTTGGCTAGAACGGTTGCTTAGATAGTGCTCAAGTGGCTGTGAGTCTTTCCTTGAATATTTCCCCTTTTATAAAGACAGGAAATTCACCCCAAGCAGAAATGAGGGGTGAATCTTTTCCTCAGAGGGCTCCCCAGAGTCCTGGTCACACATCCATTTACTTCCAGACAACATGTTTTAAGTGAACGTAGGTCACATCTTTCCCAATGTTGTTCTCAAGGCTGAAATCCACAGGGTAGAAAGATGGGTGAAGACAAAAATATTTAGAGTCACACTAGAACTGGAAGACTAAGAGAAAAGTGGAAGAGCTTTAGAGAAAGGAGTGCAAAAGCAAACTGAAGTAAATCAGCTTGCACACAGGTTGTTCCCTAACTACAAATGCATTTTGCTCCAAAAATCTACATGAAGTTGTGTTGTCTTCCAAACTGTTCCATAAGCACATTGTTATTAATGGTTGTTGGTTTGGAGGCAGACTCTTCAGTGCCCATGGAATGTTATAAGGTCACATCCATGGGGCATGGGCCTGTTTCTTTTGTTCATCAGTCTAACTGATGCTAACCAGTGCCTGGTCTACAGCAGGCTCTCTCATAAACACCTGTGGCAAGAATGAGTAAGGAACCTGAAGTTACCTACATCCTCTGACTTCAAGCTGTCCTTGCCTTGTTTGTAACTGTTACTGTTTCACAGCCGTTGTTGTTACACAGCAAAGCCCTGGGTTCTGAAGTCTCTACTCCCAGAGGTAAAACTTGCCCACAGTCTCTCAGGTAGCAGTGGTGAAGCTGGGATCTACCCACAGGTCTGTCTGACTCCAGTCACACCCTCCTTAACCTCTCAGCTGCCTCTCCATGAAGAAAAAGAAAATGTACCTAAAGGTTAAGGACTCAAAGCACCACAGACTGCCTTGGTTAACTATTCACAACTCTTGCTGACAGGAGAATGTCTTCTGAGCACAAAATCTCTAGCACAGGGCCTGGTACATGCTAGAAGTTTAAGAGACAGCACCAAAGGAGGAAATGAGCAAATGAAATGAGAGTCCAGAAAAATATTGTTTTCTCCTGGACAGTAGACCCATCAAAGCCCTTGTGAACTATTCACAACTGGGGGCCAACTGGTACCTAGAGCAGAACAAGGAGATGTGCTATGGAGGGCCCTCCTTTCATATATCCTAAGCTGGGAGCTCTATGTGTACACATGCATGCACAGACACACAAGACTGACACTGATAGAGGAGGGACACACATGATAAGGCTACTGACATTCAAGGAGAGCAACCATGCTAAGAACAAAGAGGTCATAAGGAAAGTGTCATGGCATTATGCTACAAGTGACTGTGAGCAAGCAGTCCACTTTAACTCCTCAGGGACCACAACTGAGTCTTTCCTAGGCACTAGGCCCTGAAGCACAGAGGTCCATATTCAATACAATTATCAAGATTACAACCAACGCATATGATTGACTTACGGCATCTGTAAGAGCCGGGAGACGGTAGGCATGCCATTTTTACAGGCTTCACAAGACAGCGTAGACTCCAACACGGCCACTTGAAATGAACAGATATACATTTTAGTTCCACAGAGCATGCTGGCAGATCCACTTGGTGATGAAAAGTTTGACACCGCTTTGTAACAACTGTCTGCAGGATGATCAGGCCAGTGTCAAAACTCTTCACACACAGACAGATGGCAAGCATGGGGGAGGGGGAATGTTGGCATTACCGGTGTTACCAATGACTCAAAAGAAACGCCTCAGAAACCACATGCTGTTGACAGAAAGCTAAGAATATTTCAAAGATAATTGGAGAAAGGATTCAAGATATCATTCATAAAATTGTTCTCTTTAACAGAGAAGTAAATACTACACAAAAGCAACATTCTGAACTTGCCTGCTTTTAATTTAAACCAGCACACAAAATGCCAGTTGTTGATATCTCATCATCCAACACCTTAAAAGCTATAAACAAGCGCAACCAGACTCTTCCACCCACAGGTCACTGTTCAGCTTCAGCTGTTCAAACTCAGCATCAAGTAGTCTCAGGGCCTGTTCTCTTGGATTGCCTCACTGGACAGTGACAGTGAAGTACTGACTTGCTTTCCAAACACAATTGGTCCAAGAACTACTCACACCTCCTCTCTCTGTTCTGGCTGTGAGTTCTGGGCTGGTGAAGAGAATGATAGTCTCTCAATTAGTCTGCATCATTTCCTGTACCTCTCCTTTCTTAAGGTGTCTCCCCTATTTCTCCTATCCTCCTTAGCCCCCTCAGATAATAGAGCTCTTGGATCCCATTTGTTTAGACTCTGCATCCCTAGCTGGGCCTGTGGGGCTCCTATCTACTAGGCTTCTAGCCATAGCTTCCAAGTCCAACCTCAGCCTTGGTCAGACTCCTCTCAAGACTGGCTTCTTCTTCTGATGAAGACTTAGGCTGGCTGACCTTTTTATCCTCCTGTTTCCAGATTTACAATGTATTTTCAAAAGTTCCCGGTTTCAGACAGTTCAACAAATGGACAAGCCATCTGAATTTTCAAGTATATTTCCATCTGTGGAGGATGGCAACTTCCTGAGTCTTTCCTGGACTCTGAAAAGGGGTGAAGCGCTCTTCCCAGAAGACCCCACCAAACCCTTTACTGACCCACAGCCATGGATGGTGCAGGAGGAAAGGAGTCCACAGGCACTGAGTCTGGCGGTCGCCCGTACGTCATTTCATAGAGTAAGTGGCCAAAGCAGTGGACATCCACACTTTCCAACGTCTGTGGAAGAAAGTGAGCAGTGCTGTGTTCATCCTTCAGTTTGGCTTTGTGACTCCCACTGCTTCTTCCCAAGGCATCCACTGAGAAGCAAGGCCCAGAGGCAGCCCCATTCCCAACACAACTCCAAAATCTTTTGTAAAAGCTCACCAAGCATTGTTCTGAGCAAAGGTTATGGTTCTACCCTTCACAATTTTCCAATCAATGATTCTATTCCCCTCCTTGGTCCACTCACCATTTTAACTTAGATTCTCAAAGATCTAGCAATGCCCCATGGGAAAAACAGGATCAGTGGGTAAGGCCCACCCCAATTGTGCCTTTCACTGCCTAGCACGTATTTCTCACATAGGCAGATCACGGGTCCCACTATGGGGATAATTTACACCTAAAAATGAACCTACTGCCTCATTACTTTAACAACTTACATTGATTTTCCTGAATTGTGTGAAGTAGGATCGGTAGAAGGAAGGAAGGCCCAGTAAGGAATTCTCAAGGTCTAGCAGCCGGCAAGTGTCCCCGTCCAGCATTACATTGGAAGCATGCAAATGTCCATAAGGGAATCCCTTGTCGTGAAGAAACTTTAGTACCTATTAAAAATATGCACAGGTTACATTTCCCACCCCTAATTCATTTAGATAAAAGATAGGTTAAACGTTGATGTTTTTAAAAAAAAAATTTCGACTTGGGATATAGTTCAATGGTAGAGTGTGTCCTCAACATGCAGGAGGCCATGGGTTCAATCCCTAGCTCAACACCCTCACCCCCAAAAAAAACTTTTTTAAAAAATTTAAAGTTAACATATTTTAAACAAAATCAAACAAGTCACTGAGGAGACTTAAGTTTTGTTTTGCTTTTCATAGGACTGGGGTTTGAACTCAGGGCTTTGTGCTTGCAAAGCAGGTGCTCTACTGCTTTGAGCCACACCTCCAGTCCATTTTTCCCTGGCTATTTTGGGGATAGGGGTCTTGCGAACTATATGCCTAGACTGGCCTTGACCCAAAATCCTCCCAACCTCTGCCTCCCAAGTAGCTAAGATTACACGCATGAGCCACCAGCGCCCAGCTGCAACTTAAAAATTAAATACCTCTTACCTCTAATATTTGTCGCCCGTATGTTTTTATTTGCTGGAGTTCAAGGCCCTGAATCTTTTTAGGGTTGCAGTACTTCTTTAGGAATGGGTCCTTTGGCTTTGCCTTTGGATAAAAACAACAACTATATAAGAAAGCAGCAGAAGAGCCAATATCTGCATCCAAGCTTCTGAAAAGGCAGGACGCTACAGAGAGGGGATACCAGAGACAGCGAGTTTATTGGATACTGAGTTTTTTAAACACAACAGTCTGTAGTTGGTAGAGACCAGCCTAGGTTCTGTCGCTTCTATATTCCAGGGACAATGTGCCTGATCTTGGCCGTATCAATCCCCAAAGTCTAACAGCCTGTTAGAATTTTTTAGGATTCCTTGTCAAATGCAAAGACACAAACTTTAAAACTGACCCAAGAGAGCAGCCTACAATGTAATGGATATAGATGTTAAATGTTCCATATTCCCTCATTAGGGAAAGCTATACTCTTTAAACAAACTGGGTGGAGTCTTTTCAAATAAAATAAAAAATTCAAATAAAATTCCTAGGGCCTAGCTTCTGGACCTTAGGGATCAAGTATCAATAACAGGTTCTAAAAGAACATAAAGTCCACTTTATGACCATGAACTCGTATCATAAATACCTTGTAGATCAGATCCTTCAAAGTTCCCTTTTCATTAAACATCCTAATTAGCAATGCTGAGGATTCATTAGCGGTGGCAAAGGTAACCCGATAGATATAAGGGTGCTGCCAAAACAAAAAAAGAAATTCATGATGATTTGTATCAGGATCTAGGTTCCTTTGAGTCCAAGATTTAAAATGTCAAGCATTGCCTTGGTGACTTAGTTGCATACAAACATGATGACATTCCCCAAACCCATGGCATTTTCAAGTTATTAGATGATCAATCAGTTCTCCTGATGGGAGAAAATATATACACCAGTGACAACACGAGGTAGATAACTGGCATGGTAAGTTTCCATGTGAAGATATATTTTTACTGTTTGCAGTCTCATAGTTCAGGCAAAATTGTGGAAGAAAGGAAAAGTCTGAGTTTTTGGAATAATGGTTTTCCTAGTCTACCTCTGTAAACTGAAAGACTACAGCCAAGTCTTAGAATAGTCAAGTAGGGTACCAGGATAAATTTGTCTCTGCTCAGAGCTTTGCTTGGTATTCCACACTACTGTTTGTGTGCCAGAAACAAGCAAGAGCAGCATCTTTTGGCATCTCAGCCCTTTTCCAGAGCAGCTAGCATAAACTTTCCTACCTTTCTATAGAAGTTTGCTATATGATAATTTATAACGTGTTCCTCGGATGGGAATACTGATGTCAAACAAATAAGATGAGGAAAACACAAATTATTTAATGACTAAAAGGAAAGTCCTCGTATAATCTAAAGGATACCATTAATGAAAAAATCAGGTTTTAAAATAATATGTATATAATTTTCAAACACATAAAAATTCTAAAAAAGAAACAAACATTTTGATTCCAACTTCTAGTTGGTTGAGATTACAAGTGAGTTTTATTTTCTTATTTTTGCTCATATGTATCTTCGGACTTTTCTACAATTATTAGGAGCTTCTTATATTCACTGTCTTGTTTTTGAAAAGTACACTCAATAAGAGAAACTTAAAACTGGTTGCTGACAGCTTGTGTTATACAACCAATCAAACTCAAGGTCACAGCATTTTTCTTGGACATAAGTCATGCCTCATTAAAAGCCTGGTTTAGCTACCTTGACAAGATACTCTATCTTCAAAAACGAACTTGCCAACCCAAGTGAACAAGTCAGGGCAATTGTGCTCAGTTCATAAGCAACTTATTCTAAGGTCCTATATCCTCATGCAGACAACAGATAAAGAACATCAACAATAACTCAATTTCCTAACCAGATTAGTCTTTGCTGAAGACATTCTGCACATATTTTGAAATATGTCAGGGTGGTTCTTTCCAATGGATTAGAATTGTGTATTAGCATAAATAATGAATGGTCTCTTAAAAGCCAACATGTTAGCCTATTAGAGCAAAATGGCTATTTTGCCCACTACTTCTGTCTTCTCGGGCTAGAAACAGATCTTTTGCATTCCACTGAAAGAAATACACTCACCAAGATCAAAAGGCTCACAGAAGTGTCTGATTTCTCACTCTGCTATTTGCTTAAAATAAAAGGCTTTAAGTTATCACATCTCATGGGCTGTGCAGATGTCATGAATGTTGTTTTAAATGGCATATGATCTTTGAGACTAGCCCTGCAGTTTCAGTCTGAACTGTACCTCTCTCCATTTTCTTGAACCTACAGAGTATTTCCAGCTCTTCTGTTCATGTTGACCCTTAGGAAAACACCATGAATCTGTGGTCAGCACTGAGAATAACAGAAGGACTTATACTTACCAAACAGGAAGGCAGAAGTTTGATTAGACACTGAAAATCTTTATCTGACAAGTATTTGTCTGGGCCAAGGTCAGCCTGAAAACATGGGAGGAAGTATCAGGGTACTGCCTTGCTCATCAAAAAAAAAAAAAAAAAAATTTCTTGTAAGTCTTTCCCTTTAATTTTATTTACTCAAAACAACATGACTGTGAAAAGATGACAACCATACTAAACTAAGTAGTGTGTAAACACACAAATACCAGCACTTACCTGTAATCTAATTCCATTACCAAATGTATAGACAGAACTCTCAAACTAAAAGTGACAAAGAGAAAATGCTTAAATATTTTCTTTGGAGGTGAACTCCCAAACTATAAACTGTACCAAGATTCTAGAAGAACTATTTTAAAGTGTTCCTATTTCTTTCTAAATGTTTACTAGTTGACCAAATATATCTATATAACCAAATGCATAACAAAGTGACTTAAAATGATTCTTCTCTGATGTTGAACGGAGGAAGTCCTTACGTCATCCCTTAAGAGCACAGTACAATTTTGTAATTTTCTTGTCAAATCTGTTTTTATAAACCTACATAAATTTCTGTAATAAAACTGAAGCAAAAAAGAAAAAGGCTTACCCAGCTTAACACTAGCCGTTCCTTTGGCTGATTTTTAATCTTCATCAAGAAATATTTCTTCCTTATCCTCCAACCTACCATAAAAGCAGAAATGTTTATAGTTGCATAATTCTTTCAATGATTGATGTTTCATTGGCTAAGAAGTTAATCGAAATTAAGTTTGGCAATATTAGCCACAGCTATGTATGCCCCAGTAAAACAACTAATGATAATGTTCACATGGAAAGGTTATATTGAAAAAACAATAAAGAAATCACCTCATTCATGGAATTCAGTTTAAATTTAGTGAAAAAGAATGTTGGTTCTGAAAGTAACCACCATATGAATTCTCTGATGGGGCTTTAACCAAGATTCATTAAGTATTAATAGTTAAGGACAGCATCCTCAAGCAATAAAGAGACAATAATAAAAAGAAGTCACGAGAATTTAAGAGCTTTCTTGAGATACATAACTAAGAATCCAGTTCTATGATCTGTATGTTAGCAGAAAGAGCATACGAGTTTCTTACCTATGTCTTTCAACGGTTCTACCACCTCCCATTTTGGTTCTGACCGGAAAAACATGGAAACATGCTGTAAGGCAATCTCTGCAAAGACATTGTAGAAATTCATTACTCAAACATATTAGGGAAGGGCCATATGCTTCAGATATTATTCTTGTAAATGAAAGTCTTATAGTCTAAGACTGGTAAAAAATTAATTACAAAAAAGAAGAAGATAAAAACAATGTGAAGCTGGGCATGGTGGCTCATGTCTATAATCCCAGTGGTCAGGAGGGTGAAACAGAACCATCTAAAGTTTGAAACCAGCCTGGGCTAAATAGTGAAACTGTGTCTAAAATTAAAGAAACAAGTACATCCATACATAGAATGTGGAATTTTAGATTGGCCCCTGGAATAAAGCTTATTAGTGAAAAAACTAGTGAAATCTGAATAAAGTCTGTGTTTAATGGGAATGAACTAATATTAATTTCTTAGTTTGGATAAATGTGTCATGCTTGCATCATATGCTAACACTGGGGAAACTGGGTGAAGAGTTTGTTTGTTTAGGCCATCTTGGGGTTGAACACAGAACCTACAGCTCACTAGGCAGGTGCTTTACCACATAAGCCACACCCCCAACACTGGGAGAAGAGTATATATGGAAACTCTCTACTATCATTACTACTATCTCTATACTCAACAATTATTCACAAAAAATGTAATTATTAATCATATGAAAAATGTATTTTTTAACTGGCTGGCCTACAACCCAAGCCCAAGACTCAAACATATTCTAAGGTCAGATTGAAACAATATGCTCCAAGTGATATTTATCCCATCTTCATTCCTCATGGAATTATAGCTTTCAGCAACAAAGAAGTGATTAGCCTTAAATATCTACTGGAAATAAAAGCCAATGTTTTAGAAAAACATCTATGTTCAGCAACAATGTGGTTCTATTGTGGGATGTCACTGAGTGCCTCTTTACTGGAAAAAAAAAAAAACACCCGTTTAGTGTTCATTTATCATAAGAGTATTTCCTCCTTTTAAAAAGACAATGAGAAGTTCTCTAAAATTCACTGTATTAAGAAACTATCAGAATAACTGTGCCTTTTATATTTCCTGCAAAAAGCAACATCTGTAAAAGTTGTCATTTTCTTTCAATGTAGTGAATAAACAAAGCCACTCAAGACCCCTGAAAGTAATCAGCAATCTTCCAAAAGCACTGTGGAATCTCACCTCTGCCTAGAATTAATTACATTCCAATGAGATTGGTAAGGCATGAGGGATTCAGCAGAAATTCTCTCCATATGTCAAAAGGACCTCATCAGGAATTGCTATCCTGAGAGCTTGGCAAACAGTATCATTTTGGAATATATTTTACAGTCCATTATGAATAAAGAAAGTAGGAGAAGAAAACAATTTACTATCCCTTTGTTTACTGACTCAATATGTAAAGGGTCAGATATTTTTACTCAGAAGAAAACATGTGATTACCATATACAAAACTGGCTCCATTTACATTTGTTGTAATTTCCCCAATGTGTAACAAACCATTTGGAAGGCCTGACATAGCAGAAGCATATAAATTTTTATCAACTCTAGGAACGTCCCTATAATTAATGTTGCTATAAAGTGGTGTATTTCCAAAATAATCTGAAAATAAACTCAAAAGAAAATTAAGTAAAAATTATTCCTATCAACTTTGAGAAGGATAATGAAAAATAATTTTCTTTCTTTTTTTGAAATAATAACTCTGTGTAACCTAAGCTGGCCTTGAACTTTTAATCCTCCTGCTTCAGCCTCTTGAGTTGCTGGGATTACAGATGTGCACAACCACACCTGGCTTAAAAGTAATTTTGTAATGCAGTCCAATGTCATTTCAAGAGACTGTAAAGGAGGCTGGGCATAAAGGCTCAAGTCTATAATCCCATCTCCTTGGGAGGCAGAGATCAGAGGGATTGCCTTTTTGGTCAGCCTGGCAAAAACTTTGAGAGACCCCTGTTGCAACCAATAAAAGCTGAGCACAGTGGTGTGTGCCTGTCATCCAGCTACATGGGAAGTATAAATAGGAGGATTGTGATACAGATTAGCCAGGGCATAAAGTAAGACCCTATCCCCAAAATACCCAAAGCAAAAGCAAAAGAACACAAGCAATCCAGTACCAATAAAAAAAAGGTGTGTGTGGAGGGGCACTGAAGTTATGGCTTAAAGGGGATAGAGCACCTGCCTAATGAGTGTGAGACCCTGAGTTCAACCCCCAGTACTACCAGAGAGAGAGTGAGCCACAGAGAGAAAGAGAGAGAGAGAAAAAGAGCACGAGAGAGAGAGAGAGAGAGCAAGTGAGAGAGAAAGCTGTAAAGAACAGTTGTTCAAAACTAACAGTGACCAATAATTTCCTACAAAATCATTAATCAATAATGTTTGTTATATACTGTTTCAGGAATGGGGAAGTAGCAGTGAAAACATGGAACATGCTAGATTTGTTACTAATAAATCAAGAACTGAGAGACAGTTCCTTTTTTTCCCCTTAACCTGAGGGATTAGATAATCAGAGAAGGGACATTTTCTTTCACAGAACTATGATTTAATGTCAAATAAATCACAAGGCTACCATGCTCCCAACACTAATGCCCTCCCTTTCCAGACTCAGGCAACACATTCCAATCCTAAACATCTACTCCTCTGCTTAGAAGATTTACTGGGTCCCCACTTCCTTACCAAATCAAGGCCAAGCTGCTAAACCTAGTATTCTGGCTTCATCTACACAATGTATGATGCCTCACATTCTCTGCACTCTTGAGGTTTGCGTCCCATGACCCCTAAAGATTGACGTGCTTCTAATCCCTTAGCATTTTCCATCTGGCACATATATCCCTCTAGGCTCAGCCCAAATTTGCTACTCTGAGAGTCAGGACTCACACCCTGCTTACAAATTCCCAGCACTCAAAGTGTCCCTCTGTCATGGGATAATGGGTGTGTCCTGTATTAGGGCTGCTCTCTCTTCATCTGGGTAAAGCCTGGAGCCATTTGAAACTAATTCTTCCTCAGGCTGCCCTGTCTGGAACACTGGCCTCTGCCTCTCAACCTGGCTAATTTCCACTCTCCCCTCAGATTCCAGTGGAAGGATCACCTCTGTTGGAGGTCCTCCTTTTTCTACAGGTACGGATCATCTGTACTTCCCAACCCTCACCCACCTCCTTCACCAAGGTGTTGTCCCATGTACAAACCACAGAAGCACATGTCAATTTTCCAGCATGAGTGCCTTGGGGTGGGCAGTGGGGAGACTATTCCTTTCTCCTTGCTGTAAATGTAACAGCTAGCATACAGTAGGTGCTTAAAAAATATCTGATGAAGAACTAAAGGCTGGGCACAAGTGGCTCACGCCTATAATCCTAGGTACTTGGGAGTTGATATCAGAAGGATCACAGCTTGAGGCCATCCCATCCAGACAACCCATCTCTAAAATAAACAGAAATGGAGAGGTGGTTCAAGTGGTAGGACGCCTGCTTTGCAAGCATGAAGCCCTGAGTTCAAACCCCAGTCCACCCAAAAAAAAAGAAAGAAAGAAAACAGGAAAAAAGGAAAGAACAAACTAAGGGTTTAATTCATAATCAATGGATGTGGAACCTCTCGTTAGAACATGAAGCCTTCAAAACGAAGGCACCTGCCCTCTGTTTCTTTAAGCACAGATCAACACATGGAAAAAGCTGCTGCTCAGTAAGTGCTGAGACATGAGCCCAAGACAGGAAATGCAGAGTCAAACCCAAGTCCATCCTGTGCTTCCCCTGAAGCTCAGCTGTAGCAAGCACCCCCACTGTGCATAGTCTTTGAACTCCTAAATCCCAGCCCCATGGGTGACCACAGGGAACACACTGACTCCTTCAGCCCTGCAGCTGGGGTCCAGATCTCCAGTCTATTTCAGGTCCTCATGCTCATGTTAGAGAGACCTGCAACCCGTCCAAAACATCCTGCTTTTGTTCTGACTATAATCTCCCACTCAATCCCTCTCTCTTTTTATCCTACTATTCAAAGGATTCCTGGGGTTTTAGGACTAGAAGAGAACTACAACTTTAACTTTAGGACTATAAGGACCTTTCCTAACCTCCTCAGTCTCTTGTTTCATAGGTCAGGATCCCCAGGGCACAGAGAACAGAAAGGAGACGCTAACAACAAAGCTGGGATCATGAACCAGGTTTCTTGTTCAAACGACTCTTGTGTGGATATTAAAACTCCCCCTACTCGTAGGAATGTATATGTTTGAGGTGGGATGAAGGCTACAGAGCAGAGAGGTTTAAAATGCTAAAAGTTTGTTAATGAGATGAATACAGTACTTGCAAGTGCATGCATGTGTGTGTGCATGTATATGTATTTATCAACACACACTCCCACAATTGGGAGACATTTGTTTCCTTGTACAATAGGTGGCCTCAATTAGATTTTCTAATTAAATGAATACCTAAAAACTCCCCCACAGAGGACAAAGGGCCACATTTACCTTCTATGGATTTGGTCACTCAGAGAAAACCAGGAAGAGAAAGGCCAGCAATCCCAGGTTGGGATGTCTGGGAGAACAGGAGGCAGCTTCTGGTGGCCTGAGAGGTCCTGGTTACCCATGCCCTGGGGACCATGTTGGTTCTCCTTTTAACAAGGCACCCTCAACCCCAGCCATTGCAATAAGTGGGAAAGGTGGCTGTGTGATTTTGGCCATCACTTGAACACAGAACTCAGATCCTGCTGATGTGAAGTTGAGTGATGACCACAGACTATTTGGGAACTGAGAAGTAGAGACAGTATCCACATTCAAACAGAGAAGTGGCCCTGCTTAGAGAAGTGCCCCAAGTTGGGAGGTGTGTGAAGTGCCCTCAGAGAACCATGCATCATGCTGTGCATTTCAGGAATGGTTCAGTGGAGCAGGTAGAGGCCTGTGCTTTCTTTTCCTGAAACCACTTGTGAGTCAGTCTAGCGTCAAGATAAGTTCTGAAATTTCATTCAAAAGGAGAAATAAATCAGCATTCCTCTGAAAACAGTATCCCTCACATATTGCTTCATTACAGGACTCTACCTTCTGAAGACTAGAAGGACCTGAGCATTTAGATACTGCTAGGAGTTTCTAGAGGTCTTTTTATACCCCTGCCCACATCTGCTTTGCATGCCTGACCATCCATCATGCTGTAGGGAAGAGAAAAGATTAAAGACAGTAAGAACAGCAGATGGAGGAGGTACAGTTGAAGGAAAAACAGAGATCAGACACCTTCCAAGGGGCCAAATAGCATTTTAACTTAAAAAATTCAGACTGGACTATAATCACATAGATGTGCAAGAATGGTTAGGGTCTTCTCTTCTCTCTCTGGGAACCTTAGTTTTCTCATCTACAAGTTTAAAAGGTTTTTCTTTATACAACAGCTCCAAGATCCCTTTTAGTGCAGACCACATGTGAATCCATGTGCTTCTGGTACAGGGTGCCTGAGAGCAAGGAGCATATCTGCTTCACAATCAGCTTAGCACATGGTGTGGCAGATGATATTGGTTGAAAAGGGCACAATTTACATGTGCCATACACCTTGATGCTTGCCTCAGGGGAACATCAGTAGACACTCAGGAAATAATGTCAACAAAAATGAATGGGGAAGCCTGGGTGCCAGTGGCTTACACCTGTAATCCTAGCTACTCAGGAGGCAGAGATCAGGAGAATTGAGGTTTGAAGCCAGCTGGGGCAAATATACCCAACATAAAAAAGGGCTGGTGGAGTGGATCAAGGTATAGGCCCTGAGTTCAAGCCCCAGTACAGCAAAAAAAAAAAAAAAAAAGAAAGAAAGAAAGAGGGGTGAGATGGGCACCAGTGGCTCACACCTGTAATCCTAGCTATTTATTTGAGAGGCTGAGATTGAGAGGATCATAATTCAAGGCCAGCCCAGGCAAATAGTTCACAAGACCCCCTGTCTCCAAAATAACCAGAACAAAATGTATTTAAAGTATGGCTCAAGCAGTAGAGCACCTGCTTTGCAGTAGGTAGAGCACTTGCTTTGCAAGTGTGAAGCCCTGAGTTCAAGCCCCAGTCCTTACCACCACCCAAAAAAATATGGGGCTTAGTTGGGGCTGATATGATAAGGCAATCCAGATGACCCACTAATAATTTTGAGAATAATAAGAGGTAGAGCATAAAGAAAGCCACAAAAGATGTACTCTGACAGAACTAAAGCTGTCCAGTGAGTCCCAGTCCTATGTGTGAAGCCTTTACTTGAATCAAAATACAAGTGGAGGGATAATTTAATCCTTGTAACAATTCAATGCTTAATTTTGTTACTTATAGCAAATTTGATTTTGAAATGAGATTTCCTTCTCTTTGTTACATTCTGGAAGGGCATTTTCCTTATCACTGCTTGAAGTGAAGATGGCATATGTATTCTAGAGCACAGCTTCTCACACTTCGAAGTACATGCAAATCACCAGCAGATCAGGGTCAGGTCCTGATTCAGCAGGACTGGGAAGAGATCGGAATTCTGCACTTTCAGTAAATTCCCTTGATGCCAGTCTGTGATTACCAGGCCTCAAGGGCTGTGGTTTTCAAACTTAGCTGTGTAATGGAATCACTTGGAGAGTGTCACAAACTACAAGTCACACCCACAAAGACTCTGATTTAACTGACATGCACACAGCCTAGGCATCAGAATTTCTTTAAGCCCCCTCAGGTGATTCTATTATGCAGAAAAGTTTGGGGTGGGGGCTCTAGTTCTCAAGTTTTCCTTCCATGAAACAAGAATCCCTTTAATTACTTCAAAAGCGATGTATTGAAGACCCAATTATCTGACAAAAATCTATTCCCCTGGCAACAAGATTAACAATACCCAGAGTTCCATTTAGAAAGCCTCCAAGCATGGCTTACTTTTAACCAATCAGTTTCATTCTATTGTTTGGTTCAGGTCTACAATAGTTTCTATTGATCTCCTCAAGGCCACACCAAAGTGTATTAAATATTTATTTCTTCCTTCTGCTGACATCAGGCTTAGGTTATTGATGTCGGCTTTGCATGTAATCAGTACGGGAAACAAATCCCTTTCCACCTCAGATCCCTGGCAGTGCCCGATCCAGAGAAGATGTGGAGGAGAGCTACCTTCTGTGCTTTGCACTGAAAGTCTCAGAGCAAACAGGAGACACAGAAAGGACCTTTCTGAATTACTGTTGTGTTTAAAGTAAATCCCTGGAAAAAACAGACATGCTATATATTGTGAATACAAAAACAGAGGCAAATAAAAATCAAACTGAGATTACTGAATACATTACTAGGGATTACCTGCTCTCTGTTCTGACAGGGAAGATAATAAAGGCAAGACTGTAAATACAGAGACATGATCGCTTCTCTTCCATATTTTTCTGTGCTAACACTATAAGCATTTTGGAAATAATTTATGTTCCTCTTATAAATCTACACCAAATTACAACTAAGTAAGTCTTTGCAAATAAATAATACCCTATAACAAATGTGCACATTTCCCCATTTGGGAGTACAGTTTTCCCCACATACATCATCTCCTGCTAAGCCCAGTGCTCTATAGCTCCTAAGTTCCTTTGCTTACCTGTATAGTTTGCAGAATAGTTATTTGGATCTAAAAACTTCTTAACCAACTCACAATTACTCAAGATATGATTTGTGGTGATAACATTGAGATAGTTCTGAAGACCTTTCTGTCTCTCGGCTATGAATTCACGATCCATGTTTCCAATCAGTTTTTTAGGAGGAAGAGGTAGACTTAGGCCTGCAATCTTAAAAAAAAAAAAAAAAAAAAAAGTATTATACTCATGTCATCTGATAATATTGAATCCCACAATCCTGAGCCATCCATAGCTCATTAAATTTAAGATAATCTAGATTTTAACATGTTTTCTAATTTTGTTGTTACTATAAAAATGTGAAAGGCGGGTGTGACTCAAGTGGTAGGACACTGCTCAGTAAGTGCAAGGCCTTGAGTTCAAACCCCAGTATCACCAAAAAACAAAATGTGAAAAACTATGCATAAAATTCTATAATCATTGTGACTCTAAAACTTTAATTTTTTTATTTTTACAAAAGTCATATGAACATAGTGTCAAGAGCAAATTAGTGTTTTGGGGCTTGTTTGTTGGTAATGGGTTTGAACTCAGGGCCTTGTGCTTACTAGGCAGGCACCCTACTGCTTGAGCCATGCCTCCAACCAGCAAATTAGCTAAAAAATTTATTAATAGCAGTCCTATGACACTCTATCCTCCACAACTCCTGCCACCAGGTGACATATCCATTTTCCACTTCTCTGAGACAGCCATATTCAATTCTTTCAGCTGATCTTTGAGGAATGCTCATTTTGTTAGTCTTGAATTTTCATTTTCAGGCAGTATCTATAAATTTCCCATTATGGAAAATGAGGATTAAGTTCTCTCTTACAATTCTGACCTTAACCCCCACATATTCCGTCTCCATCTTCCTAGTACCATCATATAATTTTAATTAGTATAGTATCATGTTTACATTAGGTAACTGTTATGTTCATAACAATTATATTCGTAACAACTGCTGAACCTTTGGGAGGTTCTGTGATGTAAATTGGGACCTACATGATATCTGCTTCCCTTCTCAGAATTCTGCCTTCCCATATCTGTTTAATTACTGAGCTCTCATCCACTGGGTTTTCAGCTTAAAATATTTGGTTGTAGTTTTCAACTCTGTTATTCTATTTGCCCTTGAGAGAGAGACAGAGAGAGAGACAAAGAGAGACAGAGAGAGAGACAGAGAGAGAGAGAGAATCAGTTTACTATTATTTAGAGTGGTTTGGGGAGGAAGGAAAAGTAAATGCAGGTATTCAATCCACTATCAATTTTCCAGATCATTTAAAACCTTTTGAGTCTGTTTTTTTAAACACAGGATACAAAGCATCAGATTGGTATTTTAATTTAGCCAGCAAAGTCACTTTCAAAGAGTAGTGCTATTCGACACTTCTGCTTATATCAGAGCAGTCCAAATGGCATGTGTATTGATTGAGGGTAAGATTTAAAGAGAAGGGCATCTTGAACACAAAAAAGGATGCACTCAAACCTACTCCTGTGGACAAACTTAACTTAGACTGTTCTACTTTGCGTTCTTCAAACAACAGTGATGCAGTCAAATTAAGACCTTAAAGTCGAATACTAGACAAGATGAAAAGGCAGGCTGACAATTCCAAATTGCTTATTTCTCTAACACAATTATGAAAATATGTCAGAACACAATTAGTGTGATTTTTTTTTATCATAGTTTAACTCATTGCCAAGTAAGACACTTAAATTTCAGGTTGTTTTCCACATTCATGTAACTAGGATTTGCCTAACTGCAGTTTCTGTATAAGCTGAATAAAATGCATACTTATAAAGAAAGTATAGTACTCAGCTATTACATATCTAAGCCAATCACTTTATTTTATTTTTGTTCCGTGCATAAAGTATTAAATTAAGGGTAATATATCATTTAAGGCACAACAGGTGTATCCTATTCTAAAACTATTTTGTGAAATTGCAGACTATAATCTTATTTTTTTTATTCATATGTGCATATCTTATTTTTATATGTATGTAATCCCAGGGATATAGGCACAAAAATGTCTAAAAGGACTCACACCAACTGACTGCTTAACAATGGCTACCTCTAGGAGCAGGTTGTTAATTTCTATTTTCTGCTATGAAATGTTTCAATGATTATTTACTATTCTTTTTAAAATAAAAAAACAAAATCCTTTTTGCTTAACAAACTGATTATGTAACAAGGATTAAAAAAATTATCATTAAGGTGCTGGTGGAGTGGCTTAGGTGGTAAAGTGTATGCTTAGCAAGCATGAGGCTGAGTTCAAACCCTACTACCACAAAAAAAAAAAAAAAAAGAAAAGAAAACCTATTAAACAGTATCAAAAGGTTTGCCTGCAAGGCCCCCACAACAGCACCAAATGAATTCCATAATCCCATATCACCCAGAATAGAGTCATATCTTGATGTCATTAGTTCAAACATCAACACTGTGGTTATTTTTCATTCATGGTGAGAATGTGAGAATAAACTGATAAAATACCTGCCTTGAATGGTGAGGCCGCCAAGCTTCAACCTATTTTTTGGGTTTTTTTTTGTTTTTGTTTTTGGCAGTACTGGGGTTTGAATGCAGGGCCTTCACCTTGAGCCATCTGCCAAGCTTTTTTTTTTGTGATAGGTATTTTTGAGATAGGGTCTTGAGAACTATTTGGCCAGGCTGGCTTCGAACCATGATTCTCCTGAGTTGCTAGGATTACAGGAGTGAGCCACCTGCGCCCCACCTATTTTTTCAAGCTTCATTTCATTCTAAGAAAATGTATTGATCTGGCCAGACATTCCATCAGTTCTTCTAAATCATCAGAATTCTTTTGCCAAAAGCTGTCATTATCTGTCCCTGCTCTGTCAGACAGGCTGAAGGTGTTTTTCCTGCCATAGATGAGGATCTCACAGTAAATACTCCTACAAGTACTAAAACTATGCAATATGCAGTAAAAATTTGCCTTTTAAAAAGATTAACATTTAAGAGATATTTGTTTTCTCTTTCAGTTTTCTCCTAGAATTTCTAAAATGTTTACCAATCACAGAATATAAAATTTAGAAATGCAATGAATGACAAATTAGAAGGGAAGGAAAAACAATACTAACACATAGAGTGATAAAGTCACTAAGCCACTAATTTTCTGGATACCTCCATACTGACAACTTGGAGCCAGTATATCTCATCATTTCACTTTTGCTACCTTTCTCCTTTAATAAGCCCCTGGACTCCCTTCTTGAGAAAAGAAAGCCAGCAGAAAATTCCCTTAATTTCATTTGTAACAACTGCAGAGTCACTCTGCAAAAGGGGATGATCCCCCAAATGGGATCCGAAGCCCACAATCTGACCTATACTAACCTAGCAGAAGCTAAATTATATGACAAACTATATCATGGTTTTTAAGAAAACTAGCTTTTATCTCGAGGAAAACCCTCCAAACATAAGCTTCTCATCTCTCCTTACTCTCTTCCATCATATATTAATGATCCACAAATTACCTTTAATCATATTTCAGTCAGGAGTTCTAAGCTCTCAACAGATCTTTAATTTGTCCCAATTTTCCTCCAGTGTACAGCAAAGTCTCTCCAGGGTCAATAATGAACAGTAAAAATTGAATCACAAGGCATTTATACTACAAGAGACCTCAGAATTTACTTATTCAACCCCTTCATTTCAGATGGGGAAAGTTAGGCCTAACAGAAGAAATGACTGACCCAAGGTCTTACTGCTAGCAAGAGAGAGAATCTGGGTTCTTTCCCCAGTCTAAGGGGCAAATTCCAGGTTTCTTCCTTCTGTGGCCAGTTCCATCATTTCAACCACCTGCTCCACCTGTATACTATCTTTCTGTATGGTTGCTAATTTGACACTGCATTATAAGATGGTGATTTTTAAAATATTTTTATTTTTTTGTGGTACTGGGGCTTGAACACAGAGCTTATACCTTGAGCCACTCCACCAGCCCTTTTGGTGATGGGTATTTTCGAGATAGGGTCTCAAGAACTATTTGCCTGGGCTGGCTTCGAACTGTGATCCTCCTGATATCTGCCTCTTGAGTAGCTAGGATTACAGGCATGAGCCACTGGTGCCCAGCTGTGATTTTTCTTTGTTGTTACCATGAAATATTTTCACTATAAAAATTTTAGAAAATGCATCTTTTTCTGTTTTTTTAATTATATAGCTGACATGAGTTTGTAGAAAACTTGGAAAGTACAGACTATCAAGAACTAGAAAAAAAAAACATAACCCATAACCCTGCCACCTGGGGATCACCATTGTTAAGATTTCGGCATACTGTCAGGCACCAGTGGCTCAAGCCTATAATCCTAGCTACTTGGGAGGCTTAGATGGGAAGGATGGAAGTTTGAGGCTAGCCTGGGCAAATAGTTTAGGAGACCCCCATCTCCAACATAACCAGAGCAAAATGGACTAGAGGTATGGCTCACATTTCATGTAATTGCATCACATGCTATTTTCACTGAGGTATGTCCTATTGGACTCATACACCACTCTATGCATATAGTATATTTCTCTTTCTTCACCAGGAGCTCACTTATCTGTAAAAAAGTAACTACACAATGAAAATCATGGTCACAGTTTCATTCCGTGGTTTTGGAGCCTTTTTGGTCAGTTTCATGACAGTTGTTTTAAAATTATTTTGTTGCCAAAAGAGCTGTATGCACTTTCCTCTCCTTGTTTACTTGGATCAAAAAAAAACCTCCCACTGAAATGATGTCTGGCCATAGTCTGCCCAACACAAGCCAACATCAATACATGTGGATGTTTGCATTTGAAATAAAATGTACATTGAAAGTGCTCATTATAAAAAGAAAGCTACACTGAAGCAAAAATACAATTCTGTACTATTAAATAGGCTGCAATTGAATAGCCATGGAGATCAACCTTCTATCTCTAAAGTAAGAGCAAATAGAAGATAAAACTCTCCTCCCTACTGTCTGTTCTCAGAGGCTGGGTTGAAGCAACTTCAATTTCAAAAATATTTCTCCCATTGTTATGAACTCAACTGTGGCAAAAAGACATTACACAAAGATAACTCTACTTTCTTTAATACTTGTGAATAAAGCTGGAAACATAAGTAGGCCCAGTGTTAACTCCTCAAATGGTCCCACCACTGTGAAAATGTCACATGTACCACTTCATGGAGGACACATGAGGGTAAAATGTACTACTGGGATAAATTATACATTGGCACATTCTCTACAAAGTCATCACAGGCATAGCTTCTGTCTATGTACAGACTATACTATTAAAATCCGTAAATGAAATCAAGCAAGCCAATTAATGAGGAGAATTCAATCTCTATCAATATTCTATCTGGAGGTTTAAACTGTTCAGACTAAAATTAAAATTAAAGAAGACATGGGCTGGGATGTAGCTCAGTGGTAGAGCACTTGCTCAGCATGTGCAAGGCCCTAGTTTGATCTCCAGAACTACAAAAAAGAAAGAAAAAAAAAAAAGACAACTTGTATCAAATACACAACAAATACAGCAATTACATAAAGATTTGAAAATACTTGGGCTAATTCTTTCAGAAGGAAAATAAGGCACTCATGCACTCAGCAATGAGGGTTATAAACAATGTTAAAATGTGGGCACTACCACCAATGTTACCTCCTGAAGTCTGATCAATAAAACATGGCCTTCTGAAGGAAAGGAAGCACTACACTCTCTCCCCGCCAGCAACCCTCTTGACTTTTGTGGACAGCATCAGAGGTCACTCACAATACATGTAATGACTAGCTCACCAACAAAGGCACCCTGGTTGAATTGGTCATCAGTCAAGAATTCTGGCTCAGGTTGAAAGGGGTTTCTGTTACCTCTCAAATCTGAGGTATGACACAGGCCCAGTGTTCTTCAGTAATCCATGGCCCTTGAAGACCAGTGGGCCAAGGGGGAGACATAATTGGTAACTGGCAGGACTTCACATGACACAAAAGCCCTTGTAGGACACTTCAACCAGTACCAGCACTCACTGTTTCTACCCTCTGCAGCTCATCCTTCCTTCCATTATGGCCATTAGGTTAGAAAATTTAAATCAAAGGGATTTAGAAATATGTACTTCAGAGAAAACAGTAAACCAAAAAAGGCTGAGTCTCTACTGTATTATTTAATGTTGATCTGCAGTGCTGACCACAGAGCCCAGTTCAGTAGGGCTCCCCCTGCCCAAACCCCGTCTCTGTGTTAGTGTTTGAACTCAGGGCTTCATGCTTTCTGCACAGTGCTCTATAACTTAAGCCATGCCTCCAGCCCTATAGTTTGAATCTTGAATGTCCCCCACAGAAGTGTTAATTGGCATGGTCCTCAAGGTGGTACTACTGGGAAGTAGTAGAACCTTAAAGAGGTAGGGCCAAGTAAGAGGTGTTCAGGTTATGGGGTGTGTGCCCTTCAAGGGGCTGTGGGACACTCACTCCCTCATCCCCTTCTTCTGTTTCCTAGCCATGTGTAAGTCATTTTCCTTCAATACACACTCCTATCATGATATGTGACCTCACCACAATCCAAAGCAAAGGCAACTGATCATGGACTGAAACCCCCAAAACTGTGAATCAAAACAAACCTTTCCTCTTTCACCACTCCCACCCCAACTAGGTGCTAAAGCAGCCATTTTTAGTTTGTTTGTTTGTTTTTGGCAGTACTAGGGTTTGAACTCAGGGCCTTGTCTACCACTTGAGCCACACCTCCAGTCCCCAAACTTTTCCTCTTTATAAGTTAATGATCTGAGGTATTTTCTTCAGTGATGGAGAGCTGACAAGCACATCATTTCCAACCAATTCCTAAGACAACCTAAGCAATCACTGGTATATCATTGAAATTTTGAAACATTTACCTGCAAGCTGTTGTTCAGTAAATCAAAATCACTGTATCTTCTAACAATCTGTAAAAGACAAGACAGTGAGTGGTGTTTTCATTCAGCAAAGACATCCCTTTCTATTTCCTTACCTAATATTTACTGGCTCTCTAGAGCTGAGGCACTTGTACTAAATGGAATAGGGCTTCCTGGTACTTAACTTGTTTAACTTGACAGATCCAGAAAACAGACCTAGTAATGTCAGAGGTTGGTTGGGCCATAGAAAACTGGCTCATACCAGTTTCTCACAAGTGTCTCATGAGACACCAACAGGAGATTTAAATAAAAATATTTGTTTTCCAGACAAATAGCCTTTCAAATATCTTTCTCATCAACTGGGTACCTGTAGGGATGAATTAATGATTTACAAAAAAAGTCATATTAAGCATAGAATCAAAGCAAAAAGAAGTGGACAGCTTTGAGGCCATTTCATCCTTGCCCTAGATTAACTTTCCCCAGTTGAAATCCTACCTCTCTGGACCATACCTTCAGGTAGGGCTGCCATATCTCACCCTGATTTCTCAGGTTTCCTCCCTTGGCAGATCCCACTTCATCTTCCACTGTCTATATTCTTTCTTATTGTGTTGATACCATCAATTAGAGCACAGATCAACTCTACCAGCTTTGGGTAAGGAAATCATTTTGCCTTTGAATAGTTTGACTTCAGTCTTTATTGGGGGTTCTCAAATGTTAGTGTGAATTAGTTAGAATCACTCAGAGACTACCTAGAACCCCACTACAGAGAATCTCATTCAGTAGGTATAGCATGGGGTCCAAGAATCCATTTTTTGTTAAGTACTCCAGGTTTCTAAAACTGCATCAAGGCTTGATTTTTCTTGTAGGACACTGCTATTGATCCTGCTTGCCAAATACATACCAAAAAGTTAAACATAAGTCATCCCTGATAACAGCAAGGAAACCAAAGGTTGTACAGTGGCTAACCACACAGAATATACAAATTCCAACCCTGTTCTGCCAATGTTCTAAGTGTGCCCTCAGACAAGTTACTTACCTCTCAAATATAAAATGAAGTTAACACTACAAGATAAGAATGGTTTTAAAGGGTTAAGTGAATCCATGTGTTTGAACCAGTACTGAACACTTCATAAAGACTCAATAGATGTTAAATGCAATAATTATTCAAACAAAAAGCAGTTTGTAATTTCAGGCGAAGAAAAGAACAAGTGTGGGAGACAAGGTTGGAGATGGGCTATGAAGCACAATGTAAGATTTTTGGAGGAGGTGGGGTAGCAAATATAATTACTAAAACAGGGAAGAAATTGGCCACACTGTACAAGCCAACTAGGATGAGAAGGACTTCTAAACCTGTGCAGGAAGTCTTTTCTCTCTGAGGCCACTAATGAGGAAAGCAGAGCCCGGGACTTCAAAATGACCCTCCCTTAAGGGACAACAGAGGATCTAGCACTAGAAATTGCCTATAAATGAACTTGACATCCATGAAATGCAGTGCCCTGGACTGTATGGCATCCAGGACACTGTCTCACCTTTCTACCTGGTGAACTGAACTCTAACCTCACCCAAGGCCTCAGGTTTCCTGAACTTGTTCTGGGTTGAGCTAGAAAATAAATTCCTAGATATTCATTCTGATAACACTATCTACAATTTAATGAAACAACTGGGAACAGAAAAGCAGTATTTGTGTTAAAGCTAAATGCTTATAGCTAAAAGAAGCATGATTTGTATTTTATGAATGTTCTGCTTTTTTGCAGATTTTTAGATACACAAGTTCAAATACTTTCCTTCCTTTATTCCTTTCTCTCTCTTTCTTTTTTCCCAAGATTTTTGGGACAGGATTTCACTGTATAGTCCAGGCTATCCTTGAACTCACTATGGAGCTCAGGCTGACCTTGAACTTGTGATCCACCTGTCTCAGTCTCCCTAGTGCTGGAATTACAGACTTGCACAACATTACCTGGTTCAAATATTTTTATAATTGACCAAAAATGCTTACCTGCCAGCTGTTTTCTACAGAAATTCCTCTTTGCACCCGAATGATATATTCCTAAAAGTGGGGGAGGGAAGAAAAGTCTCAGTTATAAAATCATAGAATCAAAAATAAATGGGCTGAGGATGTAGCTCAGTGGTAAAGTGCTAGCTTAGCATACTCAAGACCCTGGCTTCAGTCCATAAGCAGCACAAACAAAAAATCCTAAAAAATTAAAAATCAGATAAGAATAGACTTCAGAGCAAAGAAAACTACAGGTTGAGCATCTCTAATCAGAAAATTCAAAATCTGAACCATTTTGAGCACCAATATGATATTCAAAAAGCTCCAAGCCAGGCACCAGTGGCTCAAGCCTGTAATCCTAGCTACTTGGGAGGCTGAGATCGGGAGGAATGAAATTCAAAGCCAGCCCGGGCAAATAATTCTTGAGACCAGGTCTCCAAAATAACCATAGCAAAATGGATTGGAGGTATGGCTCAAGCAGTAAAGTGCCTGCTTTGTAAGCGAGAAGCCTTGAGTTCACACCCCAGTCCCTCTCTCTCCCCCGCCAAAAAAGAGTTCCAGATTTAGCCAGGCATGGTGGTGCTTGCCTATAATACTAGCATGAGGGAGGCAGAGACAGAAGGATCACAAGTTTGAGGCAAACCTGGCCTATATATACTGAATTCAAATCCACGCTAAGCAATGTAGTGAGCTCCTGTCTCAAAAAAAAAAGTTTCAGATTTTTAGGCTGGGATGTAACTCAGTGGTAGAATGCTTATCTAGCATGTGCAAGACCCTAGTTTGATCCCCAACACTGAGAGGGAAAAATAAGGTTTAAATTTTGAAGTGTTTCTGATTTTCAGATTAGGGATGCTTAAATAGGAAAGTCTATGCAAATATGCCAAAATTCAACAAACTCTGAATTTCTAATCCCAAGCATGTTGGACAAAGGACACACAATCTGTACCAGAGACAGAGAAGGACATCATATAACTACAAAAGAGTCAGCTACTAGGAAGACATACCAATCTTAAATGTGTATGCTCAGTGGTGGAGTGCTTGCCTAGCATGCTCAAGGACCTGGGTTCAGTCACAGTACTGAAAATAAAATACACACAACAACAGAACTATAAAGTTATACATATATATATATGCGTATATATATATATATACGCATATATATATATACACATATATATATGCGTATATATATATAATGACTATATGAATGATAGAACTAAAAGAAGAAAAAGACAAATCCACAATTACAGATGGAGACTTCAATGCCCCTCTCTCAGCCATTAATAGGTCAACTAAACTAAACAGAGAAAACCAGTTACAATTTAGAAGAACTCAATAATAAGCAAAACTCAACAAATTTAAAAGAAATGAAATTATACAAACAAGAAAACATTAACATGGGTTGAAGGCCTGGTTCAAGTGGGAGAGCACTTGCCTAGCAAGCTCAAGGCCCTGAGTTCAAACTTCAGTACTCTGAAAAAAGAAAACAACAACAAAGATAACTGGAAAACTCCAAACAGTTTAAAACTAAGTAACACACTTCTAAATAATCCATGAGTCACAGAGGAAATCACATGTAACTAAGAAAAGAGTGTTTGGATTCAGAACAGAATCCCCAAATGTATTGTGGTCAGCATGCTAAATACCTTGAACTCAGGGAAAGGAGCTCAGAAGCAAAATCTTTCTGACCTTTTCCTGTTGTTCCTTCTCTTGCTCCTCTTTCTCCCATGTGACAGGCCAAAAAAACTAGAAGTCCTCTTCCCCAAGGTGAGTCTTAAAAACTGGAATATCTCTCTACCAAATTAGTCATAAGACCTAGAAATATTACTCTAGCTTTCCCCTGCCTTTCTGTGTGGCAGGGGAAGAAATTATTTGATCTAACTTACAAAAGCAGATCATAACACCCTAATTTCCAAAGGGTTCTGCCTACCAGGCATGATGGTAACTGCCTCTAATCCCAATACTCAAGAGGCTGAGGCAGGAAGATCAAAAATTCTAGGAGGAAGGAATGACAAACAGACAAGGTGAATCTGATCAGACATATCATGTTGGGTTTTCCACTCAGTCTTTTAACATATAAAGAACAGACCCTTTTTTCCAATCACATTCCTACATGGCTGTTCATTCCTCATTAAACCTAAGCATAAAAGTAGACAGTTTTCCCTGAGTGTTTGAGTCTTAATTTCTGAAAGTTCTTGTATCGCATAAAACTTTGATTAAACAAATTTGTTATGCATCTTTCTGTTAATCTCTCTTTACCAGTTTTTACTCCAGACCTAGCCAGAAGCCATAGGAGAGTTGAGGAAACTTTCCCTTCCCCTTGACAATATACCAAGATTGTGAAACACAGCTAAACTAGTGCTGAGTAGGAAATTTAAGTGCTACATGCTTATACAAGAAAAGAGGGAAAGTTCCAAATCAATAATGTAGGCTCAAGAAGAGTACTTATATTATTATACTCTAGATAAAGAATGTAATAAATTTAAAGCAAACAGAAGGAAGGAAATAAATACAGAAAAGGGCAGAAACCAGTAAAATTGAAAGCAGAAAACAAGAGAAAAACAATTTAATAGAAATCTGATTTTTTCTTTCTTTTTTTTAACCTTTAGTGCTAGGGATGGAAACCAGGGCCTCAAGCATGCTAGAAATGCTCTATCACTGAGCTACAACCCTACCCCCAAACTGATTCTTTGAAAAGATTTTTAAAAATTGACAAACCTCTGCCAAAGCTGACAAAACAAAAAGAAATAGGACAAGAATTAATAATACCAGGAATGAAACAGGATTTCATTCCAACTTCAGATACCCACAGCCATAAATAAATATACCTGTATTTGACAACGTTGGTGAAATGTATCGCTTCCTCAAAAACACTAAGTAGCACAACTCACCCAGTATGAAGTATTGACTTATAGCTATTCAGAACACTGAATTCATAAGCTGGGCATGGAGGTACTACCTATAATCTCTGCACTCGGGAGGCTGAGGCAGGAAGATTGAGAGTTCAAGGCCAGTCTGAGCAACATAGCAAGACCTTGGTCTCAGAAACCAAAAAAAAAAAAAAAAAATTGAATTCATAACTTAAAAACTCCCCCAAAAGAATTATCCAGGCCCAGTGGTTTCACTGGAGAATTCTACTAAACATTTAAAGAATTAACACCAACTCCTCCAGGAAACAGAAGTAGAAGGAATACTTCTCAATTTATTTGATGAAGCTAATAATTAATACTCAAACCAAAGACAGTACAAAACCAGAGGGGTCAAATATCATTTATGAACACAGGCTCAAAACTTCTTGCCCAAAATATTTGGCAAAATAGTATTCAGCAATATGTAAAAAGAGGGCTGAAAACTTACTCAAATTATGAAAAACTTCTATAAAACTCCCAGAGCTAACATACATAATGGGGAAAGACTTAAGATTTTCCCCTAAGACCAGGAACAAGGCAAGGATGGCTATTCTCACTACTCTTACACAACATAGTCCTGGGAAGTCTAGTTAGTGCAGTTAAGTCTAGAAAAAGAATTAAAGCCAATACCGATCAAAAGGAAAAATAAAGCTATTCCTATTTTTAAATGACATGACAGTCTATGTAGAAAGTCCCAAGGAATCTACAAAAACAAACAAACAAAAGCTACAACTAATAACTAAACCTTCTATAAGGTCACAGGATACAGGTATACAAGTTATCAGTTGTACATCTGTATACTAGTAATAAACACAGACACTGATATAAAAATACAGTATCATACTTACCCAAAAAATACTTAGATGTAAATCTAAAACATGCACAAAACTTGTTTGTTGAAAACTATGAAACAACAATTAAAGAAATCAAAGTTCTAAATAAACATTAAAATTAAAAACTTTTTTTCTATGGAAAAATAAACAATAGTTAAAAAATGAAAAGTCCAATTAGAAAATGGGCAAAAGTTAGGAGCAGACATTCCACTGAAGAGGATATACAGATGGAAAATAAGTACATGAAGATCTGTTCTATTTTACTAGTCATCAGAAATATGCAAATTGAGGCCATAATGAAATATCACTACATATCCATCAAAATGGCTGAAACAAAAGCAGTGATAACACCAAATGCTGGCTAAGATAGAGAAACTGGGCCACTCTTACACTGCTGATGAAAATGTACAATAGTCTGTTCCAGAGTGACTTAACAGACTGAATATGAAACTACCATAAAACCCAGCAACTGTACTCCTGGGCATTTATCCCAAAGAAATGAAAACTTATGTTCATGCAAAAAACTTGCACATGAATATTCACAACAGCTTTATTACTAACAGCCACAAAGTGGAAACAAGACAGATGTCCTTTAATTAGGTGAACAGTTAAATTCTGCTAAAACGATACCATGGAATACACTCAGGAAAAAAAGGAATGAAATATTGATACATACCACTTGGATGAATCTCCACAGAATTATGCAGAGTGAAAAAAGTCAATCTTAAAAGATTATATACTGAATGATTCCATCTATATAATATTCTTGAAATAACAAAATTATAGAGAACAGATGAGTGGCTGCCAGGAGTTAAGGCTAGGGGTGGGGGAAGATGTCAGAGGGAAATGGGGTGGTTACAGAAAAGCAAAGTGAGGGATGTTTGTACAGATGGAAATGTTCTCTATCTTGACTGCAATTATGTCAATATCCTGGTTATGATATTGTACTATACTTTTTCAAAATGTTACTATTGAAAGAAACTGAGTAAGGAGTATATGGAATGCTGGACGCCAGGGGCTCACACCTGTAATCCTAGATACTTGGGAGGCTGAGATCAGGAGAATCGAAGTTTGAGGCCAGCCAAGGGAAACAGTTTACAAGACCCTATCTCCGAAAATAACCAGAGCAAAAACGGACTGGTGGTGTGGCTCAAGCAGAAAAGCACCTGCTTTTCAAGTATGAAGACCTGAGTTCAAACCCCAGTACCATTAAAAAAAAAAAAGCAAAATGCAGGGATTCAAAAGTTAAAAGATTAAAATCCACGATTTTTAGTGTTCAAAGTTTGCATTTTATATTCTAGTTAGCTATAAA